CAAAGGTGGTTTTGTACTACAGAAATGGAACAGTAACAATCAAGAACTACTTGATGCAATAAGGACATGTGAACAAAGGATAGGTAATATTACAATAAGTACAAGGGATATAAAAGAAGTTCAAATAAAAGAAAGTTGTCAAGAGAATAGTGATGAGAGTAAAATAAAAAATAAACAAGAAATTTTAAATAAAGACATCACAGATACTACAAAGATTTTAGGTCTTACCTGGTCTCGTACAGAAGATAATTTGTCGTACTCAGTGCAGTTCCCATCTAGATCTGGACCTGAAACAAAAAGATCAATATTATCAGATATTGCACATTTGTTTGATCCCTTAGGTTGGGTTGCTCCGGTTGTAATTTTAGCAAAGATATATATACAAAAGCTTTGGTTGTCCGGTATCGGTTGGGACGATGAAGTTCCAATCAATTTGAAAATGGAATGGGATACTTACCGTAACAATTTAGTTCAACTCACCAATTTTAAAGTACCGCGATGGATCGGTATTCAGTCGGACGAAGATTACGTCGAACTTCACGGCTTCAGTGATGCTTCAAAATCAGCATTTGCTGCAGTAATATACATAAGAGCAGTTAGTAAAGACAACAAAGTTCGTGTTTCACTCTTAGTTGCAAAAACTAGAGTTGCACCCATTAAACAAATAAGCATTCCACGATTAGAATTGTGTGGAGCACTCCTTTTAACTCGTTTGTTGATAGAAGTAGCCCGTGAAATGAACATTCCAAAAGACAATGTGCGAGCTTGGACCGATTCAACGATAGTAATATCTTGGCTAAACAGTCATCCTAGCCGTTGGAAGACGTTTGTAGCCAACCGTGTTTCGGAAATACTAACGAGTCTAGATTCTACACAGTGGTCTCATGTCTCATCTCAAGATAATCCCGCTGATTGTGCATCGAGAGGATTAGAACCGAAATCTCTACTGACAAATACACTTTGGATACAAGGACCACAATTTTTGTGGGATCAAAATATCACATACAATAGACCTGATATTCAGGGTGTCAATTTAGAAGAACGCGTCCAATCTCATTTAGTAACCAATGAAGGAGAATCGGTATGGGTCAAATATTCTTCATTAAGAAAGCTTCTACGGGTTATAGCGTTTTGCAGGCGTTTTATATATTCCAAGAAGAATCCTGTAACAACGAATTATCTGAAAAAGAAAGAATTGAATGAAGCATTAAAATGTTGCATTAGAGCTTGTCAGAAAAAAGAGTTTCAAGAAGAATATTTACGATTACAAGGAAACAAACAATTACAAAAGAATTCTAAAATAAGATCATTGTGTCCTTATATTGACGAGGAAGATATAATCAGAGTTGATGGTAGAATACAACAGTCTTTGCTGCCACATCAAACCAAACACCCAATAATACTTCCTCACAATTCACATTTATCAAAACTTATTGTCACTGACGCCCACGAACGGACATTACATGGTGGTAATCAGTTAATGATCAATTATTTGAGATCAGCTTACTGGATCATTAAAATAAAAAGTCTGGTGAAGCAACACATCAGAAATTGTATAATATGCATAAAGAACAATATCAAAGTAAAGAATCAACTGATGGGTTCCTTACCTTCCGTACGTTGCACTCCAGCTAGGCCATTTATTCACAGTGGGGTAGATTACGCAGGTCCTATTAATATTCGGACCAGTAAGGGGCGGGGGCATCGCTCATATAAAGGCTATATATGCATTTTCATTTGTATGACTACGCGAGCAATACATCTCGAAGTTGCTAGCGTAGTCATACAAATGAAAATGCATATATAGCCTTTATATGAGCGATGCCCCCGCCCCTTACTGGTCCGAATATTAATAGGACCTGCGTAATCTACCCCACTGTGAATAAATGGCCTAGCTGGAGTGCATAACGATGATGTATCCACATTACCCATTGGTGATGGTGGTGATGATGATGATGATGATGTTACTTCTTTGGATATTATCGAAGACATAGTAGTGCTTGACCAACAACAACAACAACAACGACAACAGCAATTATACGATCATCCCTCATCGCCGTCTTCTTCGCCGTCATCTTCGCCGTCATTTTGTCCTGTTGTGTCCGTTGACGTTTTTAACACCGTCACCGCTGTTGCCGCCGCATTCTTCTTCTCGCCCTTCTTCATCATTATTTTATCGCCATGCGATACCCTTCAATGACGATGCTAGTTTAAGACAACATATCAATAATAGCAATAAGATAGTCTTTAATAACACCATCTCTCATTATCGAGAACCATATTCTATAATATATGTTAAATTTTTATGTACCTTGTTTTTCCTGTGGTCGGTGCTCCTAGATTAGGATTTTGTTGCGATTGTGCTAATGCTTTCATACGAGTACATTATAAATTATCTATCCAATATTATGAATACGTAGCGGAGAATAGTGATTGTTTTATGCCGCTATACTATTGTTCCTATTGTAATGTGTCCAATTTTACGAAATGTTAATATGTGTATTTGTGTGTGTGTGTGTGTTTGTGTTTGTCTTGTATTGTATTTTTTTTTAAATATATAATATAGTTATTAATAGAAATTTTTCAAGTTATTTTTATTTTTTTCCTATTTACTACTATTATGGTACATAATCTATGAAAAGCTTATTAGTGCAGTCATTGAAGCATTATTGGTCCGATTTTTTTACTGTGAACCGCATTGCATACAATTTTGGAATTAGGTTCATCTTACCCTTAACTTCAAAAGTGAAAATGATTTGAACTCCGCAATCACCTGGGTGTGGGTGCCACCCCTTCTCGGTGGTGAAATTTTTTTTTCAAAATAACCTCGGATATCGATAGAAAGACTAATTTTAAGCAAAAAATCATCTATAAAGTTTTTCCAAAACTTGAATACTTTTCAAGATATTGGCAATTGAAAATTCGAAAGTTTTTCCCGTTTTTCATCGGTTTTTTGCAAATATCTCCAAAAATTTAAGTTTTATCGAAAATTTTATAAAGAACAAAATTGTAGCAGGTAATACAATGAACAATTTGGTTTTTTATAAAGTATTCTAAGTGCAATATTAAGCTAGATATTAAAGATCAAAGCCGTTTTTTATTTTGTCTGAAATTTAATCGATGTGGTCAATGCCATCTAGCGGCGAGCAGACATTTTATGCATTCTAATACAAAAGGGTTTTGTAGTGCTTGAAATAAGCTTTAAAATGAGCACTATTAAAAGTCTTGCACGTAAAATAAGTGAGCTGTATTGCAAATAAGGGGAGCATCTAATGTTTTTTCTTTTAAATCAATGGGTTTCATAAGTGCCATTTCCACCAAAATTAAAATTAATCGTATTCCACCTAGAATTAACTTTATTATGAAGAGTTTGATAGATAGTATCAGTTTGGCTGCTTCAGGACCCATATTTTTCAAAAAAGTCACGATTAAAAGAAAAACCAAAATTTAAAATTTTTAAAAAACCCACTTCTTTTTCATAATATCTCAAAAATGACGACAGATAGGTATAAAAGTGTACGATTTAAAAATTTTGGTATTTTTCTGACAAACAAATTGGTGTTTTTGTTTTTTCTGTCAAAATAAAATTGACGGAGATATGATTGTTTAAAGAGCCCGTGGCAGCGCAATCACAGCCTCTCTTAAGCCCTTTAACCCTTCACCGTTTTAGAAAAAGGTTTTTTAATATATATTGCAATGAAGGATGTTGTAGCTCTCTTAATTACCTTTACAATGGTTTTACATAAATTGTGATAGCATGAAAATTGAAGGAGTTATGGTCCAAAAACTTATCATATTTTTTTCTACTTAGTAACTGAAAATTTCGGAGTGTGAATATTTGGAGCAATGTGAAAGTACGCAGTATAATGGAGACCCACAACTATTGTAATGTGTATATATATACATAATATGGCTCATATATTTTGGAAACGTAGGCATGAATACATACCAACGTTCTTATATGTATATATAACACATTTCATCATCATCATCATCATCATCATCATCATCATCATCATCATCATCATCATCATCATCATCATCATCATCATCATCATCATCATCATCATCATCATCATCATCATCATTCATCCAACGGATTGGGGGTGGGTCATGAATGACGGTTTATTAAATCCACTTAAGTCTGTAGATCCACCCGCACCACAAGAACTGCAACTGCAAAAAAGGATGTGGAGCGTCTTGCGGATGCAGAAAAGTTGGTCTGTTTTTTAATAGTACCTGTGGAACGTGCAGTGGAGGTAACTGCCAAAATAGCCCTCCAATTCAGCCAGAAGATGTTGAATGTGACAGCGACTCCGACATTGAGTCATGAATAATAATATTATATTTAGGTGTTCGTGCCTTCGCTTGAACCACGGTTGAGATAACACCCTTGTAACTCAGCCCTATTTCACTCAATTCATGTACAAGTACCGCCATCTATCGTGGGTTTATAGAACTAACCTCTAGCCCGGCGCGAGCGCCCGGCTGTTGGCTTCTCAGTACGCTTTTGTAACTCAGCCGAGCAACACGTGCGCAACGAAAGTTACAAGTGAATAAATACAATAAAGGAGATTTAATTACCGGTAAGTTCATTGATGTACTATAATATTACAAATGCGATATAAAATTCCGCTTGGCGCCCATGGCCCAGTGACGAGACGCAGTGACCTCTAATAGGCACCGTCATATTGTACTTGTCGGTAAAAGTCGCACGGCGTCGTCTCACGGGACGACAACGAAGTAGCCCTACTATGCGGCGACAACTGTCTCGCTAGACGACGACGAAGTCGCCTCACTATGTGACGACGATGTACCGTATTAGTGGACGACGAAGACGCGTCGCCTCACTTGGCCGACGTCCACCTCATTGTAAGGTATATACCACGTCACTTTATAAGAAGACAACGCACAGTCGTCCTGTGAGAGTGAGTCAGCTAGTAAGACGACGACTTGTTCATGTCATCTTCACCAGCATAACAACTATTTGTTGTTTACAGATCATGGCCGACGTACCAACACCAATGAAAACAATGGGAGAGCTGACCTTACAAGCACCAGACGACGACGACGAAAAAGAAGTCTTCGCATCAGTACTAAGTGCAGTAGAAAACAACTACCCTGTCGGTTGGAAGGAGTGGGAGGTACTTGATCTCACCCAAAAGGACTTGTTTGGGGACGAATTGTCATCAACTACAGACAGCAAGTTGCGGTTTGGCATACCAACGACCGACCTCGTACGAGCGTTCTACCCTGAGGCTAAGGATCTTCCTGAAAGAGCTTATCGCTACATTCGTAAGATTTTGCTTTCGTGGCCGTAAGGCAGAGGACTTATATACTCGCCGCATGGCATAGTGGAAAGGCTTCACGCCCCATCATATAAAGTATTCATGGAGAACATACGCGAACTTAGAGTCAGAGGCAAACTAACAAATCGTGAAACAACTGCTAGAATACTGACAGATGAAGATAAAATAAGTCAACGAGCATGCAGTACACCTCGCTCAACAAAGCCATGTATCAAAAAGAAAGGGGGGGGGGGGGGGAGAGGCAGAACGAGCGTCTTGGGCCTTGACTTAAACGCCACTCCGAAACCAAAGATGACTCACCTCCCCCCTTAAAGGATCACTGTTGAGCAAGGCAGCGGTAATCATCTTATGGCTGCTGTCCTCCAGCAACAAATGGAACTTTTCAATAAGTTAGTTGAAATGCAGTCTGAGCAGGGCACGAGATTCGAAAACCAACGAATTGCAATGCGACAGCCGATGCGAGAAGCTCCACCTTTAGATGACTCCTACGAGTCAGTCCCGGATAGTACTCAGGAAGTTGAAGAAACCATACCTCACAGTTCCCCTACTTGGGAGGATGATGAAGATGCTGACTCAGATTGCGCGGAAGAGGCAAGTTTGCAAGAAGCCATAAAACAAACGGAAAGACGTTTAGAAGAGCTAAAATCTGCCAAAGCCGCTAAAAACGCATCTAAAAGGGGGATTTCGTCCGAAGTCTTGCCAGCATTCAACTTCAAACCTCATACAACTGAATCCGAGTCATACATGTCAAAAGCAGATCCCGTGTTAGCACAGCAGGCAAAGGATTGTCAAAGACTGGGGACAGATGGCTGGACAAAAATGAAGTACAAAGAAGTACAAAAGCAATTCCAGGCCACCCCTGTGTTTACCTCACTGAAAGTGAACAACCAGTTTGCGGGAATCACACCAAGTTGGTCTTCGGTAACGATCTTAGAGAAAACCGATCTTATTCTGGGTGCTATTACGAACGGTTTGCTGCAGCAACGGAAATTCTTTGAGGAACAGTGTGACAAAATGCCGCAGAAATTAAAGCAAAAAGTGGGAGAAGAATTCCTAGCTGCTAATTCTAAGTTTCGCAAAAGCTCCGATGACTTGCTCCAATATGTGTGTGGACGCCGAGCAGAAATCATCTACCAGAGCAGAAACACATACAAGGTGAAGAATAACAAAACACTTCATGAAGTCATTCACAGTATACCACCTTCAGATTTACACTTGTTCCAAGAGCCCGAGTTTTCACAAACCGTAAAAGACCAAGGAGGGATACACAAATTTTTTCCTTTTAAAAAGTCAGTTAGATCGTGTCGATCAACAAAAGTCGACAACCGGGCTCCTCAAAAATTCGAGTACAGTTACGGAAAAGATCGTGCGAAGAAAGGACAGTTCAAACAAGGCTCAAGACATTTTCATTCAAACTCCGGCAACAACGCCTCAAAGAACCAAACGTATGGCGATAAAGGGACCAGACAAGCAGGAGCTCAAAGCAAGTGGAAGGGTCCCAGGAAACAATGACTTCAGAGCGGGGCAGTTAATAAATCATTTGAGAGACTGGTCCGAGATAGGTGCTCCACCCAAAATCCTAAAAATATTGTCAGGCTACAGAATCCCGTTTCGGAGAAAGCCACCATTAGTAAAATTGATAAGCCATCAAAGATTTTTCAATATTTGTCCCTCCGAAGACATGACAAACGAAATTCAAGCGATGCTAGGGAACGGCGCCCTACGCAAGAGCAACCACAAAACGGAATTTCTCTCAACAATGTTTCTGAGAAAAAAGACAGATGGAACAAACAGACCAATCTTCAATCTAAAACGATTAAATCAGTATGTATATGCCCCGAAATTCAAGCTTTTAAACCATTATCGAATACCAAAGGTCCTAAACCCAAACGAATACATGGTAAAAATAGACATCTCGCAAGCCTACTATCATGTACCGATAGTACCAACGCATTGCAGATTCCTGTCTCTGGCATACGAAGGAAGAACTTACGAGATGACATATCTCCCATTCGGTCTATCAAGCGCCCCACATGCATTCTCAAAAATAACCAATTGGTTGGCACAATGGTTCAGACAAACGGCGAACATAAAGGTAATAGTCTACTTAGACGACTTCCTCGTCTGCCAATCAAGTCCAGACGTTCTAAAAAACCAATCAATATACTTGGTGCAAAAGCTGGAACAGCTAGGTTGGACAGTAAACAGAAAGAAATCCCAGTTGCAACCAACACAGTGCTTAGAGTACCTAGGTATAACTTGGGATACCTACAAGAACAGGAAGATGCTCTCCGACTCAAAAGCGAAGCAAATCGTGTCACTAACCGAAAAATTTATAAGGGAAAGACATTGGAGTTGGATGGACGCCAAGATCCTACTAGGGAAACTAAATTTTGCATCGTTTACGGTCCCTCTGGGAAGGCTTCATTGTCGCCGATTACAAATAGATTCCAAGCGGCTCCCCATAGTAAAGCGTCACACACGTTACCCTATGACAGATGCCAGCATAGCCGAGCTCAAATGGTGGAGGGAAAACGTAAGCAGATGCACAGTCATTCACCCACCCAATCCAATAATATTCATCACTACCGATGCGGCAGACTCTGGATGGGGTGCAATAGCAAACAACCGGAAACTGTGGGGGCAGTGGAACAACTCACAACAACGATGGCATTGCAATCAGAAAGAGCTGTGGGCTCTTTACGAGACTGTCAAAAGGCTAGGCCCATCATTAAGAGATGCAACGGTGACATGGCAGACGGACAACCGGACTGCGGCAGCTTACATCACCAAGCAAGGGGGCACAAAGTCGAAGAGACTCTTAGAGACGACGCTAAAGATCCTGCACTTGTGCGATCATTACAGCTGCTCCCTCATAGCTCGTTACATTCCGGGCCCATACAACGGGTTAGCAGACAGCCTATCAAGGACGAAAAATCTACCGGAATGGCATTTAAAGTCTCAGATAACGAAAATGGTTTTTCAATCTCTCGGCATCCCAGAGATAGACTTGTTCGCCTCGAGGCGCTCAGCGGTAGTTCCAAATTATGTCTCAGAGGATGCAACGGATTCAAGGAGCCAGTACACAAATGCCTTCAGTCGGACTTGGCAGTACAAACTGGGTTGGGTATTTCCCCCTCCAGCTCTGATTCCACGAGTTCTTTATCACCTGGAACAGTCAACAGGCACTTACCTTCTAGTGACACCGGAATGGCAGAAAGCTTTTTGGACACCGACAGTAAAAAGTCGCGCGACCAAACTGCCATGGAAGATCCCGGATCTCTCTCACCACCTCGTGGACCTGGAAACCAACTTGCCACCACCTGGAATAGACAACCTCAGTTTGCAGGTTTGGACTGTACGGGCTGGGCCAACGAGTTGTCTAACTGGAACGAATCTGAAATAGAGCTACTGCAAGCCTCTTGGAGAAAGTCTACTTTAAAAACATACCGGCCTGCTTGGCTCAGATGGTGCAGATGGGCATCTGAAAATAATATAAAAACGGATGACCCGAGACCAGCGGATCTAGCTCGATTTCTTTGTTATTTGTATGAAGTTGTAAAACTAGCACCCAGTACTATATTGGTCCATAAATCGGTCGTAGCTACTTTCACCGACCCGCAGAAAAGTTCCTATCTAGCGTCACATCCGATGGTCGTTCACACAATCAGAGGAATCCTCTCTAAAAAACCTAAAAGCAGAACACCTTTGTCATGGAAATTAGATGACCTGATTACTTTCATGGCGTCCTATAGTTTCGACAGCCAAAGTTTGTTTGCAGTCTCTCGTCATGTCTGTACACTCTTACTACTTGCATCAGGTAGAAGGGTGCATGACTTAACATTATTAAGCATACATCCGAAGGATTTCGAAGTAAAAGACGATGAGATAATATTTTGGCCAAAATATGGATCCAAGACCGATAGCTCCTCTTATAGACAATCTGGATGGTCCTTTAAGGCAATGCCAGATGTAAGATTCAATTTAGTTCATTGGGTAAAGCAACTAATATGTTTGTCGCAAGATCGTCGCGCCGCGAGACAACTAAATAGCCTATTCATTACTACAAGAGGTGTAGTTAAGGAAGCTTCACGAGCTGTAATAGCGGGTTGGATAAAAACTCTCTTCAAAGAAGCACATGTGTCAGCGTCAGCAGGCAGCATCAGAGCAAGTGTGGCTTCAAACAACTGGACACAGAACAACATGGATATAGACGAAGTCCTAAAGCGGGGTAACTGGAGGTCCAAAAATACTTTTTTTAATCATTATTTCAGAAACGTACAGTCACCGGCATCCATAAACAACAACATCAATATGAGTAGCTGTATTTCTCCTGTTGATTAAGCGAAAATGATCCCTGATAATAATAACACATAATATATAATTTTTATTAACCGATTTACAGATGGTCTAATGTTAGCAGTATGATTACTATAATTATTGTCATTTACAGAGTTGAAGTAAAAATTTTTTGTTTAAATTAAATGATCTCACATTATAATATTTGGATTTCTATTGTTTTACCACGCTTTTATTTTATTATCTTTTCAATGAATATTTTTCTTTAATAGGGCCTTATCAGTCACAGTACGCCCGACACGGCGCCGGCAGAGGTGAAACACGTCTCAACCGTGGTTCAAGCGAAGGCACGAACACCTAAATAGAACCGTTTTTCCCCCGAAGGGTAAAAAACGGATATTTAGGTTTCTGCCGAAGCTTGAACCACGCATAAGTGCCTTGCCGGCTACAGTTAGGTACTGAGAAGATAACAGCCGGGCGCTCGCGCCGGGCTAGAGGTTAGTTCTATAAACCCACGATAGATGGCGGTACTTGTACATGAATTGAGTGAAATAGGGCTGAGTTACAAGGGTGTTATCTCAACCGTGGTTCAAGCTTCGGCAGAAACCTAAATATCCGTTTTTTACCCTTCGGGGGAAAACGGTTCTATTTTAATAGTAATAGTACAATTTTATATAATTAGTAAATATTTTATTCAATAAATAGCAATTTTTTACTCTAAATTAAATTATTTTTAAATATGTAATATATATATATGGGTTGAAAATGATTTTAATATGAGGTAATTATGTTAGAAAATACTTTACAATTTCGTTTTCTAGCGATAAAATGGCTCAATGTCAATTTTTCCATTAAGGGGTTGTTTACACCCCTTAAAAATAATAGGCGGAGGTCAGATCATTTTCACTTTTGAAGTTAAGGGTAAGATGAGCCTAATTCCAAAATTTCATGCAAATTGGTTCACAGTAAAAAAATTCGGAGGTAAGGCTGTATTTTTCGCTTCAATCACGGCACTATATACAGTTTTGGAACCGACGGTGGTGGTACCAGTGCTTGTCTATATTTCCTGCATTGGTTCGTATCGTCCATTTTAATTTTTTCTATGATAATTGTAAATAAAATTATTATCGATTGCTTCCCGATATTGATCATATTTATCAGGACATCGCTGTGCTATTATATTTTTTCACTATAAATGTATATATCATACGAATCCAATTTTATGTTATTTATAGATTTATCCTTGTTCACCGTGTCGATCGCCAATCGTAATATGTCAATCTTTTTCTTGCGGAATTGTAAATCCAGTCTCTTCTAATTCGTATTTTTCTATTTCTTCATCCCCTCTGAACACTTAGAGTGTCCACGTCGATTCCGGACTCCAAAACAAATATAGCGCTCTTACTTTTTTCAATGGTAATTTATTTAATTCATTCGTTTCCACCACTTGATATTGAGAATATTTTGAATCGTATAAATTGTATGTAATTATTGGACCCACTTCCGCTTCGATAATGTACACATCGCCCGGTATGTTACTGTTTTCTTCGGTGTATTCAATTTTTATCGTGTGAGTGGTGTCCTTCGTTTCCACCGTCACCGTTCTCGGTGTAATCCATTCAGCATCGAACTCCTCCATCGACAATTTTATGTGATACTTACTCGGTTTCACCAATAAATTGCGAGTTATTAACAATTGCATTTCTTGCGGTAACATTTCACACTTTCTATAATCACGCATTTTATCAAAATGATACATGTATTGTATTTTATCTTCGTCCGTTTTTGTTCCATAAAATGCTAGCGCATCTGTTGTTGTCGGTATTTCATATTGTTTCGGTTCTTTTTCCTCATCATCTTTGTTTAAATCTTCGACCTCTGACATTTTTTTTTTAAAAAACTAATCAATCACTTTAGAGAAAAAAAACCTAATGCACCCAGCCGCCGCACGGCCTCACAGGATGGGAGGTCGGGAGGCCAACGCGCGCGCGCAATCATAATTCCACACGAAGACTGGCGGTCATCTTGCGCGCTCTCGCTCTATATACGCGTCGACGCGCTCCTTTCACTTATTTTTCTATTCGCGCCGTGCCACAATTCACCTTAACTCCATCGGCGCACGGGTCCGAGTCGCTCGCTTCAAGGTCACTCTCGGGACCTTTCACCACTAAATTGGGTTGCATGGTGTGTTATGTGCTGTAATATATGGCGTGAATGACTCATCGATTGACGCAACATTGTGAAATCATGACGAATCATTGTGTGTGACTCATCGCAACATTGTGTGTGTGTAATCATGACGGCCATTACTACTACGTCACACACACACCACCCACTCTAACTCTACTACTACTACGTCACGATGACCCATCATTGACATGTCTAAAGCATTTGATCGGGTATCACACAAAAAACTACTCGATAAACTACAGTTGATCGGAATAAGAGGTCCTGCCTATGACTGGTTAAAATCGTACTTAGAGAACAGAGTTCAATTTGTTGAAATAGAACAAATAGGTAATAAACATACGATACATACCTACAGATCCAGTCTTGAAAAAAATGATACTGGCGTCCCACAGGGGAGTATACTCGGTCCATTGCTATTTCTAATTTATATAAATGACATTAAAAATTGTTCAAACTATAAATTTACTTTATTTGCTGATGATATCTCAGTGTTAGTCTCTACTAATAAAGGTAGCACAATGGAACAACATCGAAATGACATTATTGATACTTTGACATCCATAATAGATTGGAATGATAATAATCTTCAAATTAATATTAACAAAACCAATATAATTAATTTTAATAATTTTAAAAACTCTTTGACGAATATTAACTTTAACGGAAAACAATATTAATGGGCTACAAAAGGTAAGTTTTTGGGTCTATTTATAGATAGCAGGCTTAATTGGAGAGACCAAATAGAAAATGTACTTGGAAAAATAAATGGCTTCGCATTTGCTTTATATAATCTTGCAAGAATTACAGACAGAAAGACAGCAGTTTTAGCATATTTAGCTTATGTGGAATCTTGCCTTAGATATGAACTCATAACATGGGGAAATGGTACGGATATAAATAAAGTATTCATTGCCCAAAAGAAATGTATTCGAGCCATTTGTAACATTGCACCAGATGTTTCTTGCAGACAGTTCTTCAAAACATTAAAAATATTAACACTGCCCTGCTTATACGTATTAGAAATGGGAAAATTTGTTAAACAAAACAGCCAACTATACCAGCAACTAAAAGATAATACAAGCAGAAATTTTAGAAATTTGAATAAACTTGTATTGAGTAACAATCCCAAAATTTCGCGTTTCAATAAAAATGGTTATGCAATGGCTATAAAAATATATAATAAAGTACCTGACAATATTAAGCAACTACCCTACAACAGGTTCAAAATAGTATTAAAAAATTGGCTATTGGATAAAAGGTTTTATTCTGTAGAGGATTTTTTAAAAAATAAGTCCTGAATATTGAAATGAATGTCGATTTTGGATTAATTTTATTTTGAATGCATATAATATATTGACATGAATATTACTTTTGAATTGACATCAGGAATCGTAATTAATATTGACATTGAATTGAATAATAATCCTAAATTATCATACTGAAAAAAAATTGTTATTATAGGTATATCACACTAAATTGACATAAAATATTTTTATTTTGAACTGACATTGAGAATTGTAATTAATATTGACATAAATTTGAATTTAAATTATAATGATAAAATACTTGTTATTAAATGAATGATAGGTAAATTTAATATGACTGTTATGTTTTAATATATTAGATTTTTTTGCATGCTATTAATATGGCTAAATAGGTTTAAGATTCTTAGCTCTTAACATATGCTTTATATGCAAACACCTATTCTTGATTATTCTATTCTATTCTTAGTTTGTAAAGTGAAGTATTTTAATAGTCTCTTATCTATTAGACAAGTCCGTCCGTCTGTGGTGCTGTTTCAGCGGCCAAACCGTAAGAGATAGATAAAGAGAATATTTAAGTTAAGAATAGTCTGATAAGACTACAAACCGGATTTGAGTAACGTAGCACTTCCGGTTTTCGAGAAATCACGAATTTCAAACGAAACCACACAAAATCTCCGAAGTTCTCAATTAATTAAATACATTTTTTTTTAAATCAGGTTTTGGTGAACATTTGGTTCACTGGTTTGCTAGTTATATTATAGTAAACACTGGTGATATACAAACTATATAGAGATTATAATTTTTATTATTTTAAAGATGTAACTGCTTGATGTTTAAATCTAAAGAAAATATAACTAGAAAAAAATCCACGCGGACCAGGCAGCAGACGGGACTCGATTGTGGGTTACCTATAATGCAAAGAGATGGCGCTGCCTTGCAGCTTAAGAATGGCTAGAAGAATTTCGACGCGGTCCGTGAGGGCCGCGGTGCATAATTGGTCAGTGCATTCGCCCGGATTGCGAAGGGTGCGGGTTCGAGTCCCGTCTACTGCCTGGTCCGCGTGGAATTTTTTCTAGTTATATTTTCTTTATACACGGATTAATACAGATAATCATATTAACTTTCTCTTTCCATGTTTGTACAGTGAACTATTGTAAGTACAATTTATTGAATTTTGCTGAATCTCTTCCACTGGTCACTAAAATTCAGTACTGATCCCACATTTTCTTGTAAATGTAATTTGTCAGAATAAATTTTCACTCTTTATTGTTGTACTAAGACTGGAATATGTGTTCTGCAATGCTCACCCTGCTATACCCTCCTTATTCTAAAATGCGGACTATAGTTAGTCTTGGTTTATACACAGTGTGTCTCTGTGTTCTTTTTAGTGAACAAAAGTGACAGCATCACTTTTAGTCCAGGTTTAACTTTAGCCTACGTTTTGTAATAAGGCGGTACAGGTTTTGTAGCCTAGTGCAATCTCCAGATCACTTAAAGTGCACTGTTTCTATTATTTGTACTTATACACCTATGTGGAAGGGCCACATAGGTGCATACGAGACATATAAAAATAAATTTAACTATATCATCATCCCACCTTTTCAGTCGTTATAGTAAATTTAATAAGCTTTAAAATTCAATAAGCCTTAACATTTTGCACTAACATAAGTTGAGATTCCTATATTTATTTAAACTTTCTTTTTTCACAATTATTCACTTATATCTAGATGGGGTTTTTTATCCTGACGTGTAAATTATATTTTTTATAGTATGTTGTTTTAAACTTTCATGGTCACTAACATTATATTAAATTATGTTATTTACGGAATTGTTACCATATGGTAACGTATATACGAGTTTCTGATTTTATGGCACTATCGTAAGCGCCATGATCACTGAGAAACTAAAGTAATTGCGGGTAGGCTGTTATTGGCAGACATATCAGTCTACCCTCCAACGAAGTCTTTTATTGCGTCTAAGTTTAAAACAAAAAGGGAAGATACGGCACTCTCGCCTCAAAAGTGATCCGCTTAAATTGTGGTACATGACCGCAATTCGCTTTAGCCACAATTGGACATTCAAACTCGCTGCATGTGCACTCAGTATAACAATATTGCGTATATTCTGTGTTATAAAGATAAAAAAATGTCTTCGATGTTTTTATAAAGAACACAAATAGTTCAAAATCAAATGCCTTGACAACACTTTTCATTCGAAAACTGTTAAAATCTTTTTTTCTCAAAAATCACGGTTTGTCGTGAATGTTATTTACGTGATCGCCATTTTGTTATCAAGAAAAGGACAACAATGCAGCTCAGCCGTTCGGACTCTGGACTCGCCGTTTCGCTCGCGCTGCGTTGATCGTACAGTTCTGTCGCGCTCGCTCGATTGAATGTACAGACGTGTGCGTGTGTGAGAGTTGCTTATGTAGTTGATTCGAAGCATATTTTATTTGATGCTAGTATGGGTGTACCATATCTTCCCTTTTTGTTTTAATCTAAGTATGGCGTCCATAAAGTGTTTTAAATTCAAATGAAATTGCAGACAATTTTTTATGAGCTGTGTAGTACCTCATCAAATAATCAAATATTTTATTATGTTGATGCAGGTCCTCCCCAATCACCGACTATGCAGCTGACTGCCAACCAAGTGTTGCAACGACACTACCTTGGGTTCGCAGAGGGGTTCGTCATGGTATATGACACAACGAAGCCGGAATCACTTGATGTGCTTATGTACTTAAAGAAGGATATAGATAGGAACAAAGACAAAAAAGAAGTAAGTTGAACCAGAAATGTAGATAACATTTACTGCCAATGAAATTAAACAATAAAATCATTAACATTTATTTAATACTAATGGCCCGCCCTCGCTTCGCTCGGTGTAGAGCTGAATTGATCAAAATCCTTTCTTAGCGGATGCCTACGTCATAACATCTACCTGCATGCCAAATTTCAGCCCGATCCGTCCAGTGGTTTTGGGCTGTGCGTTGATAGATCACTATGTCAGTCAGTCACCTTGGAGTTTTATATATATAGATAAAAACTTATGAAAGTATTCAGTACCTTTTTTAACGTTTTACAGGAATTAGTACTAGTATTCTCATTTATCATGATTGTTTTAACTACATTGTTTTTACTGTTTTTGTCATTCAATACCCTTTTAATTAATTATAATGTTACCTTGTGACTTTGTGAGAGAAAAATAAAAATCTTTCATTCAATCATTCATTCATTCAATGAATCTTTCAGGTGGTAATGCTTGTGATCGGAAACCGGACTGGTCTCGACGACGTCAACAGCCTCGAGAACACCTGCTCTAAAGCCGCCAACTGGTGTTCTAGGGAAAAGGTTCGCCATTTCGAAGTTTCCGCAATGGACAGGCCTTCTCTGTACGAACCCTTTATCTACTTGACTTCCAGACTCAACCCGGTGCAGAACAAGACAGCGTTCCCACAACTCAGCACTTTAAGCAAGTTAACCCAGAAGAATAACAAGAGCGAAGCCATGTAACGGTATGCTTTCAATCTATGCCCTTTCTGCTACCATCCTTGATGTGTAGTGGCTTCCATTGATGCTCATTGTTCATTGGTTAATTTCAAGTTATTGAATGTCTGATTGTATAATGAGGTTTAGTTGAATTTATATTCCTGGTAAAAGTGCTTGATTCATAAGAAACTAGGTTTTCGTTGCAGCAGAATGTTATATAAACAGAAGACTACTTTTATTGCAACAAGATGTTTTAAACAAAGAGTTGCGAACATAAAAAAATATATTTCAAGGAATATTTAAATATAGGGTGAAATTGAATGTTTTAATGAAACTTCGTGGGATTGTTGGGTTAAGTATGTAGAGTAATTACTTATCACTAAATTTTTTCGGATTTTTTAAAATGATATATATATATATATAAGTAAGTATGCTTGTTTAAAATGAATAACTACTCAAAAGGAGGAAAGGACATAAAAATACACTAAATTATAAATAAATACATGAAAAAAATACTTCAATAATTCCGAAATACTCCGGCATACTCTATACACGTAACCCAATAATCTCACAGTTTCATTAAAACATTAAATTTCACCTTATATACTTCCGGTCCTATCGGCCCACTTAGTGTTATAAATTTCAACGTTTTGTAGCAAAACTTTATATTTATGGTCTCAACCATAAACATACAGTTTTGCATACATATTAATGAAAAAAAAAACACGAAAATATGGTTAATAAAGCTTCGAAACTGCGTAGGTTCTAGCTAGGGACCGTCAAAACTTAGAAAAGGGTGGCGATAAATGTGTCCGGAAGTGTATTCTCAACTGTTTCTGGTATGTTAAAGATGTTATATAATTCGTAATTTTTATAAATGCGTCTAATGAAGCATTAAATACGTTATATTTAGTTATTACAAATAAATGTGGCAAATTAACATTGAAGGAGCTGGCGAACAAAACGGTTTAATTACATAAAATTAAATTGAATGACATACCTACAGTGAGCTTTTGGCGTGGTTTAGATTTTTTTAATTTAGTAATTTCAACGGTAATTTAAAGGCGGTTTTGATTGAAAATGTGTTGAGATTCAAATTCAGCGGGCCCAAAACCTCCGGACTGTAAAAAAAAGTATTTTGACCAGATGCGTAATTATACCGTTTTGTTCGCCAGCTCCTCGTTTACAAACGGTCTTTTATTACGATAGTCAAGGATTACTAGCTCTCTTATCTTTATTGAGTTTATCACAATTTAATTTATTATATAAAAAAAATGTTACGAATAGGGTATTTGGCAAGTTTTTGAAAACAATCTTACGTTATTCATAAGTGTTTACAAAAAAGTGGTTATTTTTTAATGTGGGTGCCCTCCGAGGGGCCATATTGGAAAACGTAGGTTTCGTATAAATAAAAATTTAACAGGACCTTTAAAAAAAAATTAGCCAGAAGGATAATGGACAATGGGCAAAACGCACCCAGCTCCGCCAACTATGTAATTAGTATGAATCGATAGATCTATGAAAAACTAGCCTTTTTTATTATGACACCGTAAAAAAATATCCTGGGAGTCAAAAGATATACATATGGGCATGTTCTATATTAGGGGTTAAGGTTTCCGCACATAGACCTTAAAGAAAACCATCAGTCGTGTGTAAGTCATGGCTTCCGGTTGCACACATGGGCATTATTAAATAGCTAAATAAATTCATTCAAAATCAATAGTACTTTCGTTATATAATATTAGCCATAATAATGTGAGTCATATCTTACTATACAACCAGATACAAAATACTATACAGCAAAGCCTACCGAACATCCTGCTTGCTTGCTGCTTGCACTTACTGAGACGCCACAAAACGTTTAACAGGGTAAGGGTATGGGGGTTGAAGGATGTGATATTTGCAGTTGCCGTTCCAACTAGTCTACTCGTATGCAGTTATAGTATGTCTTACTTTTTGTGCGCTCCCTGTTACTTCATTGATATTTAACTAACACGCTTTGGAAATAGGAACACGATTATCATCACGTACGCCATTATAATCGTACGAGCCAATAATAAAATCTACGGGTCTATTTAAATGCATTTCTGCATATATGCATTCATTCAGCCAATGTCAAGTAAAAGAAGGATCTTTTACTTGACATTGGCTGAATGAAATAACCGTGCTTGCGGTGCTTGCCAAAAAAATCAGTGGCTTTTGCGAGCAAAAATAGATTCGAGGCATACGAGGTCTCAGCTCTATTACTCCTATATATTGATAAATGAAGACGAAAATGGAATAAATGCATTAAAACATTATTACTTATTTTATTCATTATGCTCATGTTAAACGGGAAACTGCACTTTAGGCTGCTGTGCTCATGTTATGGTGGTCATATGGTTTTTATTTCTGGCAAGACATGACGAGGATATTCACAGACCGGCTCTCTTCTTAGACACTGTGGATGAAGATTATTAAAAATATTTGAAATGAAATAATGTTTCATAATTAATTCCTTTTTTTTACACTCACCGATTAGCCTTGCCCCAAAGTAAGCACTGTAAGGCTTGTGTTATGGGATGCTAGGGTAATGAATAGAATACATATGCAGTACATATATAAGAATATTGATATAGAAATACATATTAAACATCCATGACTGGAGTACAAATGCTCGTACTCATCACACAAACATCTGCCCTCACCAGGATTTGAATCCGGGACCTCTCGAGTCGGCGACACCATGATACCATTACATGATGCCGGCGTACATACCATTCCACCACGGAGGTCATCAAATAATATATATCCGTCCTATATAATCGTCCTTGTATCATTAATATATATTATGTTTGCTATAGTTACGTTTACCTATGAACTTGTACCTATTTAACTTAATATAACTAAAGACCCCCGGGATAGAATTTGATGCGCTTTGGCACAGATGATTATGACTATAATACCTTTCAAACAAATGTAGTTTAAACTGTGGCGGACGTGGGTGCAGCGTCCATACAATTTTGCCCATTGTCCTTTGTAGCTGTTGTAAGTCGAACGTTACGACTCATGACGAATCTGGGCTTTCAGACGAAACGCCGAATTACAGCTACCCTACCGCGTGTCCACGCCCCGCTCGGCCGTAGGCAGTTATTTCAAGGACAGGGCCGAGTCACAATACTGTATAGATAATATTACCGTGTCACAGGGTAGTTGTGGCCCCTCGGAGGGCACGCACATATTTATCTATCATCCTGTTGTGTATTTCGGTAAAAAAAACGATATCAAAAATACTGCTTTCAGATATAATGTCCCTGTGACTTTTCTCTGGGTATTAAAGGCGTGTTTACTTATGCTGTGTGACGTCACACGGCTGTCATTTAAACGTCAAACGTGACAGCTAATGTCACTTTGACCAGAGGTTAGGCTCCGTCAATCCCACGGATTTTTGATCACGTGACAATAGAAAAAATAACCGTTTTCTTTGTCGTGGTGATGTAGTAAAATTACCAATATTTTTTCTGTAAAAAAAGTAAAAATCGCTGCCATTATACATTCTTAATACAGATGCTAACAGTTGGCACTTAATTTGTAATACTGTCAAATGTTGTTGTTAACTTAGAAAATTCCTGAAATCATATTCTTTCGAGACACAGGACAAGTGGCTCGAAGAGGAAAAAAACACTATGTTGATTAATCTCAATTTCATTCTATCATCCAGAATCATGTCATGATTAATATAAGTATTTGGGCATAGATTTGTATGATAGAATTATTTGTTAAGTAGTATCAATTTTTAACTTATCTCATTTAGGCGTACTTAATTATTTTAGTGCAATATTCCTATAAAAATTGTTATTAGATTATAAAACTATAAAAGTAATATTTAAAAAATATAGAAATTCTTATTCTTATAGTTGTAAAAAAGAGATCTCTTTGTTATCTGTGTTTAGTTCATTCTCTCTCTCTCTCTCTCTCTCTCTCTCTCTCTCTCTCTCTCTCTCTCTTATTTTCGAAGTTATAGCATATAACTTATCGTAAGCGTAAATTTTGTACTTATGAATAGAACATTTAATGTGTATAATACTATTGTACTATTAGTAGGTACCTATAACCCCTCGTTTACACCAAGGTATAATACTTGTATTTAACAAATTTTATACAATGTCTTAATTTTTTGTTGATATACATGTATAAAACATTTAGTATACAATACTTGCATCAAAATTGTTGGATAAACTAAATATGTGAAGTAAATAAGTGATTTTTACTTGTAAGATACTAGTTGTCTATGCAGTGCAAACGAAATGTTGTTTTAAACTGCCACAACAAGTATCCTACAAGCTTTTTTTAAAACTAGTAAAGACTTGTTTCTTACTGGAAACGAAGGGTTAGGAGTGCTAACAGTGTGTTAAAGCGATTTGCTGAGGCTTTTTATTAAATATCCTTTATCTAGGTATGCCCAGTTATGGAAAGCAAAAGTGTATCACTTTTTTCATGTACCAAAATGTCCAATAAATTATTAATTTGATCTTGGAAAACTTTAGGTGCATTTGAGACACCTTATGGAAGAACAAGAAATCTGTCTAATCTAAATGGTGTTAAAGCTTCCTCAGTTAGCGGAAAATGATGATTGCCTTCTGAAAGATCAAACACAGAAAAGAACTCCGTATCCCGTAACTTTGATGCCACTTCTTCAACATGTTTTTGGGTTTTCTAATAATAACTTATTCAGTTTTCTCGGATCCAGACAGTCTTAATTCCCTGTTTTGTTTCTAGACTATAAAAATTCTATTGGCACAGATTCAATTTCTTATTGATACAAGTATAGATCTTATCTCATTAAACTTTACGAAAGTTGTATCATCTTTATTCCAAAATCTGTTTGGTTTGTTTTCCATGTCAAATTCATTAATCCATTACAGTCAAAATCTGTTAAAACGACATGAAGGGGAAGGGACTACTCATATTTGTTCGTGAAAACCGATAGTCGTTACAGCCGATGTAATTAAGTACCTAATACCTATTATTGAATGCGTGATTAATATATTCATATATAAAATAAAACTAAATTTTATTTATTTCACTTGAAACGTATAATAAAAAAATATCATATAATTATCATTTTTCTATTTTAATTAAATATGTAATTTTAGTCTGTTTCGAACACTTCTGTGTTGTGTTTTAGGAATTTTAATTAATTTATCGTCAGAATTTCCCTGCATTTGAAACTGTTCATTATAAAGAACAATTTTTCGTAATACACTAACAACATTGAGACCACTATTCAAAGATGGCAATGTAAATTGTTCCTCAGTGTCTTTCTGTTCGTGATCTTGAACTTCTTGTACAATATCTTCTTCCGCAGCTGGTGCACAAATTGCAATAGAGATATCCACATCAACTAACTCATCTGCTTCAATAGTAGATAAATCAGGCTGTAAAATTTGGGCTAATTGAGCTAAAGAAATGTTGTCCTCTTCATCATCATCAGTCACATCATCTGAGGATATTGTCAAGAGGTGTTTGAAACCTGCATGTCTGAAGCAATTCGCAATAGTTTTGGTGATACCTTTTCCCATACTTCCAGATATCATCAAAATGGCATCAAATACCGTAAAGCTTTTCTGGTCATTACTGTCAAGGTTTTCAATTATCTTTAACACTTGCTCTTTCACTCTTCTATAATGAGATTTTAAACATCTTATTACACCTTGGTTCATTGGTTGCAGAGCAAATGTAACATTCGGTGGTAAAAACACAAGTTTAAAGCACTTCAGATTAGTAACAGCCGGACGAACACGACAGTTTGATAAATAATACCTTTTGGTTTTCATTGGTAATTCTACTTTTGTAGAATTTTCTTATTGTTGCTTTTATTAATTCAGCGTCCCAGTTTTTCCAAATCAAATCCAAATATCTTTCTTGCCTGCCGTCCAATTTTTGATTTTACAATACTGTTGTAAAATCTTCACTTTAAGCATTTAAAAACTGGTAAACGTTGTTTTCGCTACTGGCATACACGCCTTTCTCTCAACCAACAACTTTATTTTTTTGTTGTTTATTATAAATCTTTACTGTGTAATCAAAAGCTCTTCTATTTTGGATATAATTCAAATAATTATGAAATTATATATATATATAGAATTGCTTTTGAAAAATCAATATTTGTATTTACCTACTAAAGTAGGTGTAACTAATGTATATAAGTGGAACCTTTTTTAGAAAAAACTTCAACGTATCCGGTATCCGGCCAGAATCAAACCCGCTTCTTCATTAACCAACCAACTAATGCATTGAGCGCTAAGTTACAAAACCTTAAATTTCTTCAAGTAAGTATATCTTCTAGTCTGATACATGTGCAGAGTTAATTTTTTTTCTTTTAAAAATGTTCCAAGATATAAAAATCCAGAAATAAAAAAATTATATAAATAAATTATTTCGCTCGAATTTTTGCAAAGAAAATTAAACAATATTTTTAAATACGAAAGCCTTTTATTTTCAACCTACTAGTTTTTCTGGTATTACTGATTTGTAAGTATGTAAAGAAAGTAGTAGTGTGAAAGAGGAGCTCGATGGGGTTAGGTTAGGTTAGGTTAGGCCTGCGATTGAGAAAGCAACTTTCGAAATTGCCGATCATTGGATGGGTGATCAAAGACTTACCTTAATATCGAGATAATTCTCGAACTTCGGAAGGAACTTTAAATCGATGGTCCCAGCTGCAACTGCAGTCGTGAGCACCCACCAATTCGCACTAATGGACCGCATAATGGACAGTCCCTATTCCATACATGTGCCCCTGCAGTGGGGACATTAATAGTCTGATGATGATAGAAAGAAGAAGAAAAAACAGGAGACCAAGGACGTTGGTGATTACTCATGATAAAATACAGACAAACTCGGTATGAAAACAGATTCCAAAACTCGTATTTTTTTTATAGCGAGGTACGCCCCCCCTCATGTTAAGTGGTGATCAGACCCGTCTTTCCCAGTGGGCACTTTGGGCAAGGGCCAGGGCCCCGTGATTGATAGGGGGGCCCCTCAGATCAAATACAAAGTACTCTTTAATTGAGGAACTAGGGAGTTCCTGTTAAATCACCAAACGGAAGTCATAGGGGCCCCATTATCCTAATATGCCCAGGGCCTCCAGGCCCTAGGTCAAAGACGGCACTGGTGGTGATAAAGTCCAAACGCGAAGATAGTAATTCTGAGTTTCAGCGGTAGTGCAGCTGGAATTCAGTAGCCGCCGTAGAAATGCAGAAGTGCCCGTGGATTCTGTAAGATAGAACATCACTTAAGATCTCATTTTTTCGGAATTTTGACAATTGTTAAGTGTCCATAACTGACTGCTGTAACTGATATTTAGCCGTGTCATTGCGTAATGCATATTTATCTAATGTCAAACATCCGAATAAATCTGTATAAATGAGATTCTATCTTACAGAACCGACATGCTGTAATTTTGATATTAAGTTTCATGCTTTCTCGCGTTTCTGAGAAGAAGCGTCTTGACATACGGACGACAAACTTGCCCTATGAGGATACAGTATTTTTTCTTTTGCAAAGGTAGCCAGCCTACCTAAGATAAGACGCGATGCATATTTTTGCATACTTATTGCATTTTTTATACTGTTATTGCACTAGTTTTCCTCTGGTCTTCTAACAAATATATAAATAAAAAAAATGGTTGCCTGTAAAGTCGGTTTTACGGGCGAAGATTTTACGTGACAACGTCTTTTTCTCGGTAGAATATTTATTGATATGAATATAATTAAATTGCACAATAGGAACAAGGAATTGAATGAAAATAAGAATTGCACAAATTTTAACTATAGAAATATATTTTGTTTACTAAAACATTGTACATGTAAACTTAAACTCATCGTAACGTTACCGAGCGTTACACTTTTTCATAAGTGACTCCCAGCCGCAACCTAATTTAAGACGTTGTCACGTCAAAAAGAAACAGCAGGTCAACGATTCAGTTATATATAAACCAGTTCAGCCATGACTTCGTTATTCCAAGACTGTCTTTAGACAAAGATGCTCGCGCTTTACTTGTTGTTAGTTACAGTAAATGAACTGTTGTGTCAGACTACGATTGTGAGGACAAACAATGGATGGATAGTAGGACAGGATCGTGGAGACTATGAAACCTTCTTCGGTATTCCATACGCTTTGGTGGACGAGGAAAACCCATTTGGAGTAAGCTATTTTTATATTAGAGGTTTATATTCATAAGTTGATTTAATTCTAAGAACGCTAATTTTACATATTAACTATCCTTACAGAGATTTACACAGAATGAGGGCTACCGATTTTTCTGCCTAACCAGATGGCGCCACTGTTGAGTGAGGTCCTAAATTGTAACTTTTAAAGTTTATTAATACGCACATGAAATCAAAGGTTACATTTAGATCGTATTTTAACACAAAAGAACCATATCCTAAACATAATAGGCCATGCCACAGTGACGCGCAGTTCTGTTTTATTCGGAAAAAATGGGAACATAATCATTTTTCTAAGCTCAAATTTTTAATAACTGACATTCATTGCCACATAACTCATATTTGCCATAATTAAGCCGAATTGTTACCAATTATTCACAAAATTATTTTAATTAGAAATAAACCCGCGTAGTCAACCAACAAGCAATAACATTTGACATTTCGGAGACCTCACGCTACACTAGCGCCTCTAGCGGCGGATTCATACGCGATAGCCCTCATTATCAAGTGCAGGGTCTGCATTTATGCAGCCCTCACATTTATTAATTATTTCCCACAGTTAGACTTCGGCCATCCCAAGGAGCATTTCTCGCAATTAAGAGCTCAGATACTCGAGTACGCGTGTGATTCTGGTAATTTTATTTCAATTAAATCAGAATCCGGGCGTTTTGGGGTGGCTTTTTTTTAAAGAGAGAGAGCGACGGCCTTCTTACAGTACGCTGTTGAAGTCCATGAAAATACGCTTGACTAAGAGCATGCGCACCGTTAAGCAGGGCACGGAGCGGAGCACGCTCGATCGGCTGTCTTCTATGCTCTCGTCTGCGTCCTCTTATAACTGGGTGGTATTATCAACAAAAATAATCCATTATCGACTGTTCACCAGCGCATTTGAAGTTGTACTGGCGGCGCTGAGAGAGTCACCAGCCTCCCGGTTCCCGCGACGACCACGTAGCACGGAGCGGATCCCCGCGACGGAATCCCTCTCCGTGCCCCGCTTAACGGTGCGCACGCTCTTATTTATAAAATCTCCGTGTTCTGACGTTCGCCCACACCCTTTTTTACTCGACTGCGCAATGCAAGAGGTCGAAGCGTGACGTGCAGTCAGGGTAGGTATAGTGTTTTTAAATGTGTAGGTCCAAAATAATCCCACGTTATTAAAATCGCCGGTAGTAAGTCGTTTTATTAATAGCTAGTGATGACGGTATTTAAATTTTTGCAAATATAAATTTATTGACGGTAATTTGGGTCCCAGTTGTGATGTTAAATGAAAACATTAATAAACTTGTCTTTTTTTCACCATTTTGAAAAAAACATATCCGATGTGCTGTTCACATGCGATAGAAGTGAAACCTACAAAAACCGGCCAAGTGCGAGTCGGGCCCGCGCACGGGTTCCGTAGCATTTTTACTAACCCCCATTAATTATACACAATAAATCGTAAAAAAGTAATATAAATAGCAATGATATTTATCATCTATCTTTTTCGGTTATATCACTACAATATTCTGCATAATTTTTGGCATACCTACTTGAAAAATGGTTTTGTTATTAAACCTAATCCATTTTGACGTGACAACGTCTTAAATTAGGTTGCGGCTGGGAGTCACTTATGAAAAAGTGTAACGCTCGGTAACGTTACGATGAGTCTCTCGTGTTAAGTTTAAGTTTACATGTACAATGTTTTAGTAAACAAAATATATTTCTATAGTTAAAATTTGTGCAATTCTTATTTTCATTCAATTCCTTGTTCCTATTGTGCAATTTAATTATATTCATATCAATAAATATTCTACCGAGAAAAAGACGTTGTCACGTAAAATCTTCGCCCGTAAAACCGACTTTACAGGCAACCATTTTTTTTTGTTTCATCGAATCTTAAGTCCCAACGTAGTATAAAAGTTTTTTTAACTACAAAAAAACCGTTAAGCCCGTTGTTTTTCTAAATATGATTTTTTCAAGTTTTTTTGTGTTTTATTGAGGTATGTTACCTATGACTGTTTTCACACATGATGCTTTAAAAAAATATCATTCTTCATATGCGCTCTGTTAGCTTAGTTCAAACTTCAAAGAAACTAATTCCAAACGGGGAATTCAATGATTTTTTCCGTTCGTCGCTCTTGAGTGTCACCAATTATTAAAAGCTTAGCTGGTACTCGTGAAAAAAGTGTGCTCCAGAAATTATTGAAGTGAAAACGTCTTTTTAGCGGCGTTGTACACTTCTTGTTGTATGGGTAAAAAATGTTAAACTCGCGTTAGGTTTAACACGTGGGCTGATCGCATCATGACACACAATAAAATTGGAAACGTTGTTGACTTTCAATATATTGGACGAAACATAGTAATATTTTATTTTATCGTATTATAATAATAAGTCTCTATCTAGGACGTCCACGTGGCAGCTTTATTGCGATGAAAATGCATTTTTTTTTACAATAGACATCGCTAGGTGCGTTTAAATGTGATTCATGTTAGTTGATTTCTTTACAATAGATGTCGCTAAGTGCGCTTAAACGTGATTCATGTAACTTTTTTAATGTAATATAAATCGTGATGTTTGTGTACGATAGCGCAATAAATAAATATTGTATTCTACCACATACATGATAGTACTTTTATACTGATAAATTAAAGCAATTCGTGCAAAATTATTCCCTAACCATTCCAAAATGTCAAAAATGCACAACGTTAATATTTAAGTTTTTACCTCTGCCGGCACTCCCGGAGTGCAACCCGTCGTTTTTTTTCTTCGATAGCTAGAAACAAAAACAAGTTTTTTGCATCTATAGTCCCGGTGCCATGTAAGCCAACGCTATGTGCAGAACTAGTTCCAAGTTTATTGTGCTTGTGCGACCGTCCAAGGTCACCCAAATGCATTCATTTCAACCAACGCACAAAGGTGTACAAACACGTTCATATAATAAAAGACTGCATATATTCAATATGACATCATTGCAAAACCGTAGGAATTGGCTTGGTCTCTCATTCCTTTTTTCCCCAACTATTGCTAAAGTTTAAACTTTGTGTTCCTAGTAAAATTCCCCGTACGCCGTACCTCGATAACACCATTGTGTCCTCCTTTTCGTGAAACAGTACATGGTACAAACTCACCAATATCAAGATTGTCAAAGATCCTTAAGGCGCTTTGCAGACGGCGGGGCGAAGCGGGCCGGTCAATTTCGCCGCGAACGATAGCACAAAGTGAATCCTATATTACAAACGCACACAGAGGGCAAAAAGACCGCGCCGCAGGTGCCCGGCGGGCACTGGCGGCGCGGCATGTCCGCGGTTGCCCGCCGTGGATCATACAAACCAGTTTATATGCAGTAACGCAGACGGCGGCGCGGGGCGGCTAGTTCAGTCCGCGCCACGCGCTTTTTAGTGATGGACTATTCACTAGAACGAACTTCCTGAACTGACTGCCTCTGCCCGTCGTGTGCTTTGTGTAAGCGGCGAGGGCAGCCGCAGACATCGACGGACAGACGAGGTTTTTATTGCTTCGCGGACAAAAAGACCGCCCAACCCCGTCATCTGCAAAGTGCCTAACGGTTGTAGTGATATTATTGACTAACGGCCGCCCGCGACTTCGTACGCGTGAGTTAGTTATTTAGCGTGATAATATGTAGCCTTTAAGTTGACCCGACTTCTTAATAATATTCGTGCCAAATTTGAAGTAAATCCATGCAGTACTTTTTTAATTTATCCCGGATATACATACAGGCAAACAGCCAAAAATTCTAAAAACTATATTTTTTTCTTCGGTATATATTGTAGATCACACCCCAAGTGTATTTTTTTTAAATATTCAATGTAAAGTTTTGACTTTCCTACCATTCTATTATATGTATAGATACCCTTATTGATTCACTTCCTAAGCTCAAAAGAATATTATGTCTCAAACATGGCAAAAAACTAACTAATTAAGCTTGATATTTATATGAAACCTGTATTGTAATTTTTAATTGATAAGAACAATGCCATAACTTAGGAAACTAAATGACGTACTAACACATATTTTGGCGAAAACGAAAATCTAGAAATGTTCTCTCAAAGGACCAAACTGTAGGAGCCGTTACTAGGACCCCAACGGTTGTCAATATGTCACGTAACTCGAGATAGAGGATTTTTGGTCACACATCAAATGACCGGCCATTGCGAAAGTTGCTTAACTTCAACATGCCTTAATTGCACTGTTACATAATATAAAAAAATGGGTGCATGTACTTATGTAGGCGCGTGAGAAGTTATCCTTCTTTGACATCGTTTAAAATTAGTTTTTAATTGCATGCAAATAATTAATTACAATAAATTAATAGAAAGTCTGGAAAAGGACACAGTCAATAAAGTTCAGTTTTAATTTGAAAAAATAAATAAATAATCAAAATATTCAATTAAAATCGCTACTGAATATAATTTATTAGAACATAATGTGATTTGCACTTGTATGAAACTCAAACACGTATTCCGAATATACAAACTAGAAACATGTGGATAAATATTATAAATATGAATACCTATAACTGTTACTTTATTACAAAAAATAAAGATGTGGTTTTTGGTTCTACTACACCAATGGTCAAGAGATGGCGCTGCTGTAGTCTCCTGAATAGCGCTTTGGTTCCGTTGTTCCAGATTAATAAATACTTTTGATAGGCCTTCACAATGCAGTCGTTAGCACCAACTAAATAGAGATTCTATTTCTATTTTGTTGGTAGATTTTCTTAATGTTAACTTTTTGTGTTACAGTGATGCGCGCGCATCTAAAAATTTCACTCTCATAATTTTTTCATAACGCGCCTAAAGAAGTATAACTTCAATATTGTTCTTAAAACAATTAGTGGGATTGTTTCGCTAAAGTATATGGTTAATCTTGTAAATAGTTTTAATTAATGTGTAAATAAACACTGATAACTCATAATAATAATTAAATAGCCTGTTCAGTCATCGATGGCACAGAATCATGAGTTTACACGGGAATTTTTGGATTTTCTCGAGCGCTGCAAAATAATATAACGGAGACAACCTTGCACCCTATGAAGTACTCCTACCGTACCTGAGCCCATAGACTAGTATTGTATAAAGGGTACCTGAGCCCTCTTTGTAAGGCAGAATGTCTAGGGCTGCAGGCAAATATATACTATCAACAAACGGCCATGACTTACGTACCTAAGGTAACTATATAAAGTCTTACCTACAGAAATAACCACAGAACACAGCTGTGTTCTGTGGAAATACCACACACCCTGATAGCAGTTTAGTTGGAATTGGCTTCTGAATCGATGTCGAAAAAGTATAAAAAAATGACATTAACTTAATCATTTTTAAACAATGAATATGATACATAATGCAACGTAATAAGTGCTTTAAATGCGAAGGTACACGAAATAATTTTACTAACCATGAAATATCACCGGTTAAACTGATTAAATAAATCTAAAGAAAAGGAGATTGCTCAGCTTCCATACATGTTTCGCCAAAAGACCAATAATCATGAAAAATTGTTTTCTAGATTCGAAATTATAAATATATAAATTACTGTAGAAACGAATATTATTGACGGACACCCCTGAGAACTTCTAAGGTAATTGCGTCTAATAAGGGCCGGGTTTTTGGAAATCGAAATAAATCAATGTTTGGAAGTGTGATAATTGGTACGACGTCATGATCAACCAAACTGTTTTTATTTGAAAAGAAAACGTTGCACAAAAACAACACACGAATGTCCATTTATTTACAAAAAAAGTTTTTTAAAAGCTTGTTTATGGTCCTTATTGTGTACTAGGGCTCGAATTAAGGTCCATGATTGAACTGCAAGATTTCAGACGTTGAGTATCAGAAAAAATAAATCTTTAGATAGCAACCAACGGCTTTAAACTACTTTCAACTTCATGGCTTTCCAATATTAAAACGGTAATTCATATAATTTAGTATTGTGGCCCTTATAAAGTCATACGAAATATATATAAGTTGTAACTTATATATTTTCTAGCTATAAATGAAACAAATTGAAGGTTTGTGCAAATTTTTATTAATTTTACGAAAGACAATCACTAAAAGTTACTAATGAGTTATTTTTTCAGTCTTAATCTTGGGACCTTATTAGGTATAACACTTATTTAATCATAGTGTGGACCTTATTAAGTGTTTCTAACAGGTAACACGGTAACCACTGAACTTAAAGGTTCAGTGTGTATATACTTATCCTTATTAAATATATTTTCTATTCAGTAATCAAAATAAACGTATATAAATTTGGGCATTAGGGCCAATTTGAGCAATCTCTTTTAACTAGAAAAAAAAATACGCACACCAGACAGCAGACGGGACTCGAACCCTAAGATATCCGGGCGAATGCACTGACCATTATGCTATCGCGACCCTGATGCCCTGTGCTTAGTTTACTAAATTTCATCGCGCGTTTCCCTTATCGCCCACGAGATACTATTAGTTCTTAAGCATGGAGAACGCACAAACAATGCAAACTAAAAAATACATAAAACGTAAATGTTTTTAACCTTGTACGACGCGGTGCCCTTTGTTTTTTAAAAAGGCCGATAAGCATTTGGCCTGTTTATACTTCCCTTTCCTAAACATAATTATTAATCTCATCCACAGAGATCACTTCCACACCCAGGCTTCGCAACACTGTTCTACGCAAACAATCCATCAGTGAAATGCCCTCAACTTTTCCCCAAAGAGAATGATATAGTTGAAATTCAATGTCTCCGCCTCAACATCTACGTGCCTAAAACGACCAATAAAAACATCCCAGTGTTGGTATACATACATGGCGGAGGCTTCATAATCGGAAGCGCTGGTAAATACGACGCCAAACATTTGGTCCAACACGACATAATCGTGGTCACAATAAACTACAGGTTGGGACCTTATGGCTTCTTCTGCTTGAATACTGACTCTGTTCCTGGTAACCAAGGCCTAAAAGATCAAGTGTCCGCTTTGAGGTGGATCAAGAGAAATATAGCAGCGTTCGGCGGTGACCCTGACAAAGTTACCATAGGTGGGGAAAGCTCTGTGGAATTGCATCTGTATTCTGAAAACGAAAAGCTTTTTGATAAAGCTATCATACAGAGCGGAGGTGCTGACGCTGAGGCCTTATTCGAAGAACCTAATAACAACGCTGCATATACTTTAGCAAAGACGTTTGATCCAGAGGTGAAGGAACAAGACGCGTTAAAACTTTTGTCTAAACAACACCCTACCGAAGTAATGGAGGTTTATAGATTATCTCGTATGGTCCTTGGTACATGTGAGGAAAGAGAACAGCCAAATAAAAGAGTAGAACATTTCTTTACTGCAAATTCTAAAGCTTTACATCGTCCGCTAAAGGTTAGTGGTACGCAAATTATGATTGGGTACAATAGTAAAGAGACGTTTGCTGGTTATGTCAAGTTACCGAATAAAGGTTACGAGAGCGACATTTTCTTGGAGAAGATAAAAAACAATTTTAGATTAGATGAAAAGACGATGAAGGAAGCTGTACAATCGGTGAAAAGCTTTTATTTAGGCAACAAAAATATTTCTAAAGACGTGATGTTGGAATTGATAGACTTCACAAGTGATTTTATGGTGAACTATCCTGTAGAGAGAGCAGTGAGTAGATTTCTTGAACAAGGAGCTTTGGTTTATAAATATTTATTTTCATATACTGGTAATAGTCTTTATAATAATATAGAAGGTGCTGGAGTTTCCCATTTAGAACAGCTACAGTATCTGTTTGATTTGGAAGCAGAAAAAGAGTTAAAGGGTGAAGACAACATATTAATGAGGGACAGAATGACAGCACTGTGGGCGAATTTCGTCAAATACGGGTAAATATCACTATAAATTCGCACTCTTCAGATAACTAATTTTATATGTGTTTTCATAATTTACCTCGAATATGCTATAGTTGCGATCGTAGAACTTTTGTAAGGGCCGTGATCAAATATTTACTCAGTGGCGGACTAACAGGGGGAAGGGGCGGAAGGGGCGGCCCGGCCCCGGGCCTCCGATCTTGGGGGGCCCCCAAATGCCTCCGTGTTCCCCTGATCAAATCCTAAACAAGACTGTAAAAATGTGATTAGCACCTACATAATTTCATCAAGACCAAAAAACTTTACGCGGTACTAATATTTTTTTAACTTTACTGAACGCGTCCAATACGCTGGGCTTTCCGTCTTTGTAGCGGGTACTTCCTCAGGAATCCCTGAATGAACGAAGTGCAATTAATCCACTCTTGTACGCCTGCATTTACATTCTCTGGATTCAATTTACGTCGAAAAATAAACATCGGCCTTATTAAAAATATAGGAAATAATTTCATTACGTTGATATTTATTAGTGTGTTCCGATATTTTCATGAACGGATAAGCCTTTTTTCGAATTGTAAAGTAATAAACGCGATCTTATCCGTTCAAAGTAATTTAATTAAAAAGTGTAAATAGTGTTTTTGATTTTTGTTGCGGTATAAAAGTAAATGAGTTCAGAGTTGAGTTAGTACATTTTCAAGTATTTGGAAAAAGTAAAAAAGTTCAAGATCCAACAAAAGCAAATCTAGATACAAGATCAGGAACAAGCCTGCTCTTGCCGGCTGTTTGTGATTTTACCTTTCTAACCTGTATAAAATTCTGGCTTTCTTTACTGGAGGAAGTAAATTTAGTTCAACAATATTTGCAGTCTCCAAAAATGACTCTGGATTTAGGAATCACCACACTAAACGCCGTGAATGAGTATTTAGTGACCGAACGAACTACGATTGTAGACAATGCTGTAACTTAAGACATATAAAAATGCAACGACATGTATATCAACATCGAGAAACGAACAAGAAGGAAGGTAAAAAGAACGATGTTGGGTGAATCAGCTCATGATGCTGGATTAGCAATTGAAGAAGAAATACGTCGGTCAATGTATGAATGTATAGACCGATTCATACAATAATTATCGACACGATACAGGGCCATGCAACAAATCAATAATGTTTTCCAAATTATTGAAACAAAGTTTATGGTAGAAGCTTCAGATAATTTGATACAAAGTTATAGTGAATTTGTCAAGAAGCAAGTTTCCCAAGAAATAAACAGGTACCGCAGGCATTTAAAAGTCACTGATATAAGTATGGATGTTGCTACCAAATGGAGCGCCCAAGAAATCCTTAAATTTATAATAAAATAGGACTTCAGTGAATTGTTACCCTGTATATCACTTATACTTCAATACTTCTTGACCATTTGCATCTCGGTTGCATCATGCGAGAGGAGTTTTTTGAAACTTAAACTAATTAGAAATTATCTTCGATCTACAATAGGTCAAGAGCGACAGGTTAGTATTGCCGTGCTTTTTAAGCACGAAAAAAGGAAAATTTCCAAAGAAATCGCTTACACAGAAGTTATTGAGAAGTTCAGTAAATTAAAGCACGAAAACACGTATAACACGCTACAAAAATAAAAAACTATCTTTAATTTATTTTGTCTATTGTTTTTTTGTCAGTCAAATCGTATTTTATTTTCTCAACCATATCCATTCCATATTCTAGGTATGTATGGTGTTTATTTAGCCGAAATAACTTAATTCGAATTTAAATTTCACTTGCCCGATTTTATCGAAATACCTAAACATAAGAAACTACATTTTTTTTAAAGCTGGGGTCCTCATTCAGCTTTGGCGCCCCGGGCCTCTGACGGGCTTAGTCCGCCACTGTATTTACTATCTCGAGCTCCTCCCTGCTTCGGTAGTTCGTAAGGTACGATAATGGGCAGTCGTTAGCACCCACCAATTTGATAGGCACTGTCATATTCTTTCCTTAAGGAAGGCCTGTGCTCCACCAGTGGGGACATTAGGAGACCTAATGCATATCCTCAAGTACCTGCCGAAACACTTACTACATATTAAATCTTCGGTGGTGTCGTGAGAGGCGGGTTGTTACGTTCCCTATAATATGGCTGAGCGAAGCGATGGCTGGTTCATGCGTCATGCTCGTGAACGGGTGCTGCCAGCGGAGATGAGCCTGTCCTAAATACTTTGATATTGAAGATGTTAATGTCTCTTTACACCCAATATAAATAACACTATTTGTATTTATACTGTATGACACAGCAATCAAAATACAGGTGAACCATTATGTAATAAAAGATGAATTAATATTTTATGAATCATCTCTGAAGTCATTTTTCAACTTGACGACTCTATAAATAATAAAACAGGGACAAAAAAGCAGCTGTCGATGAGTTTCTTGCTGGTTTTTCTTAGAACAAGGTCTTCCGTCGTAGATTGACGAACCGATGGCGATGGCGTAACTTTTAGACATTCATGAATACTTGTAACAGCCTAAACTGAATAAATGATTTTGATTATGATAATGATAAACGTTTTTGTTTTTCAGAAACCCGACACCCAGAGAATCAAGTCTCCTGACTGTACCATGGCAACCGACTTCACAAAACACCAGGCCTTATCTAGATATCAACTTACAGATGGAGTTGAAGGAAAATGTGTACGAGAAGAGAATAGATTTTTGGAACACGTTTTGGGAAAAGTACGGCAAATACAGGATGTCATGCCATACATCTCTAAGCCTATAAACTTCAAACTTTTATTTTATTATATTGTGTACATCACAGTTGGTTTTAAATTATATAATTCCAAAAAAAGACCACGTTAGGGCACAGCAAAATGAAACAATAATTTATAAAACGTCTAGGATATTAAATATAAAATACAGACCAAGAAACGATATTAGTAGATACACCACGTGCGCTCAAAATGTGACCCAATCAAGAAGTGCTTGAACACCACTCAAGCACTTCTTGGTTCACAGTCACGCGAGGCCCTTTGGAAAGTCAAGATGCCGAAGAGCTACGTGAAAAAATGCGAAAAAAATACTTACAGTATGTAAAGTGTAGTTTTTTCGACAAATATCTAATCAATGTTTGTTAATTTAACAAATTCAAATACATGGTCGGTAATAAATAGCTGTCTCATTTCTTTGCGCTCCGTACCTGCTTTATTGCTAACAGCGCAATCAGAATTGCGTGTAGAGTCAAAGAAACAAGGTCTAAATAAGTTGTTAAATTTGACGAGCATGCGACAGTTCGAAATCTGTCAAATCTCTTTGACGCATGCGTTTTAATTAAGACCTCACACAATATCCATTAAAGTGACTTTCAATGTTTAAAAAATGCCTTTCATTGTTTTACACTACGCGATCATCTTACGGAGCTCCGTGGATCGTCCAATTTACCTTTTGGACAGGTTTCGGCCACGATTTTGTTTGTCTTGTTGTATGTATTTAGGTCGTGCATAGGTAAATATAGTCGTGTGACGCCCGTGACGCATTTCCGTTTAATTTTTTATATAGAATATTTCCATTATTCGAAAGGGGTGCACCCTTTCGAATAGAAGTTTTACTGTAAAAACCTGGGTATGAATTCTTTTTGGGTATTCTCTGGGTGTGTTTTCGTATTTAGTTAAATAAAACAAAAAACATCTTCAGTTAGCGATTTTATTTACTTTTTTTTGCGTTTCCGAACGTAATTATATTTATTTAATTAGTAATTTTACAATCGTCTTACGTTAATATCATCAGTTATACTACTCCTAGGAGGGATAATATCCCAATTGGTTACTACTCAAAACAAATATTAATGTAACGGCTCTTTTTTGAGCATGTGCTTACGTCACTAATCATATCTAAGTACATATTCAACAGTTTTGTTTTAAACTCAACACCCGCCATAGTGAACTGACTCAATTCCTATTTTTTAAAGTGATTTATGCCTCCTGGGAATTATCGACCGATAATAAAGGGTTATTGCGAATTCATGAACTTCTATTGCGTATTATCGCAGTATCGCAGCAGTGTGTAACTTTGTAGCCGTTCTCATACATAATGTACTAAAAACAATTATCGCAATAACGCATCCGATATTATCGACTGATAATAACGCGCTTATGTGGGGGAGGCCTAAGGTGTTTAGCAATGTCTGTTGTTTTTTAAAACAAAGTTTTCAAGGAATCGTCGACTAAAATCTTAAGTCCAAATTTCAAAGTTGACTTTTATTGTAATTATTTTTCACAGAATTTAAACATTAGTAATTGTTTTCATCGGACTATGTAACAGTTTATGAAGGTCTAAGTTATAAGGGCATTGTCTACCAAGCTCTTTATCGCTAACGATATAAGATCAAAAATTCAACAATATAATCACCATGTATTTGCAAATAGGTAGAATTTTATAATTCATATTTCAATCAAATTTGTACAAATCCAATATTTCTTTTTTCATCACATTTTTTCTCAGCATTAGTTCTTGACTTCACTACGGGAAATTAACATTTTAACCAGTAATTTAATTTTTTTATTTTCAGTTCAATAACTTCAGTTGATTTAAATGAAGAGATTAGTTTATATTTAGTTCTGTACGAATTGGGATTGAAACAGACATAGGTTTTTCTCGATGGTTTTTTTATGTAATACCTAATTTTAATATGAGATCCACCTGTCCCAACATTCTATAAAAAATCATTTTATTGTTATAGGTTGGGGAAAGTCTTTTCGCATTATAGTATGTATGAACTTGGAATACAATCTCTTCGGCTAAACCATTTGTATCTGACTGATTTTGGTATCATTAAAAAGTTTAAATTTTAAAGAAGATAATTCCAAATTCAGGAACATCACAAAAGCCACGAAAACACGACTCGTCAGTACCTTTAGTACGAGTTTTACAATTACGAAAACTATGATAGTTTTCATGAGCTCGCACTAGTACTAAGGCTACTGATTTTGCTTTCGTTTCAATACAAATAAACAGTGTTTAAATTCTATCATTAAATCATTTGCGTCTTCTTAAATTTTAAGTATATTTGGTCCATTTTCACCAAAATGGACAAAGAAACATAATTTACAATTACGAAAACTATGATAGTTTTCGTGAGCTCAAACTCGTACTAAGGGTACAGGGCATTAGTGTTTCCCATATTCCTCTATGGTGCTGAGACGTGGACCTTGCGAGAGAGTGAGAAAAAGAAGATAGACGCTCTAGAAATGTGGTGCTGGAGGAAAATGCTTGGCATACAGTGGACACAATTCCGAACCAATGCATCCATCCTCCAGGAATGGTCCATCAAACAACGTCTGTCTTTACTGTCAAGATGAGTGAATCTAATGAAAAATTTGTTTGGATTATTGTATTTGCATCAATTATTACTGTCTGGCTATTTTATTTCTATTACCGTTTTCTCCCTGGATCTATAACGGTATTTTTTTAGAATCTACCATATTTTCTATCACCGTTAACTAGTATTTGGACATGACAACACTGGACCTAGTGCAGTGTCTGTGAGAATAGCACATTGGTTTAAGCGTTTTCAATCCGGAAATTTGGATGTCAAAGTGCATCTTTGACATCAAAATTTCCGTCGTTTTGTTCGCCCTGTTACGGATAAAACGGATGCCATTATATATGGCATATCAGTAGTTACGACGTACCTGGGAATTGCCCACAAAACAGTTATGGCGCTTTTGAAAAAACTGGGTACACAAAAAAGCTCGATATTTGGGTGCCTCACGAGCTCACTGAAAGAAACCTAATGAACTATGTACTCATTTGTGATTCTTTATTAGGGCCAGACCCGTCTTTCCCAGTGGGCAATTTGGGCAAGTGTCCAGGGCCCCGTGATCGATAGGTGGGCACCTCAAATCACAAATCCAAATCCTTAGTTGTTGTTAGATCACCAAACGGAAGTCATAGGGACCCAATTATCCTAATATGCCCAGGGCCTCCAATAGGTCAAAGACGGCACTGATTAGGACGTAATAAAACCGAACCATTTTTGAAAAAGCTGATGACTGGTGATGTAAAGTGGATCACGTACGACAAGAACGTGCGAAAAAGGTCGCGGTCAAAGGCCGGTGAAGCCCCACAGACTCTGGCGAAACCCGGGTTAACTCGCAACAAGGTGATGCTGTGTGTATGGTGAGATTGAAAGGGCATTATTCATTATGAGCTGTTACCTGGCGGCAGAACCATAGATTCTGAACTTTTCTGCGAACAACTGATGAGATTAAAGCAAGAAGTTGAGAAAAAGCGGCCGGAATCAACAGAAGGCAGTGCCATTTTTGACATATTGCAGGCAATGGGCATAATGGGGCCCCTATGACTTCCGTTTGGTGATTTAACAGGAACTAGGGACTTTGTATTTGATCTGAGGGGGCCCCCTATCGATCGCGGGGCCCTGGGCACTTGCCCAAAGTGCCCACTGGGATAGACGGGTCTGACAGAAGGAGTTTGATTTTCCATCAAGATAAAGTTGGACCTCACACGTCTTTAGCTACTCAGCGAAAATGAAGAGAGTCACTGGGAGGTGTTAATGCATCCGCCGTATAGTCCTGACCTTGCGTCTTCAGATTTCTACCTGTTTCGGTCTCTTCAGAATCTTTAGGCAGTCTGAGGTTAACATCACAAGAGGACTGCCAACATCACTTGTCGCGGTTTCTTGATTAGAAAACCCAAAATTGTTATAGCAATGGGATCATGTCCCTACCTACAAGATGGCAAAAAGTTATCGAACAAAATGGCACTTACATATTTTAGTAAAATGTAAATAAACTTTTCTTTTATTTTTTGAATTTTCATATAAAATGCGAAGAAACTTTTCTCCCCAACCTAATATTTTAATTAAAGCATTAACTTCCAGATTTTTTATCTAAAAAGTATCAAAGAAATTATTAAAAACAAAATTTAAACTTATATTACTAGCATATTTATTTATCTTTTGCCTGAGAGGTAATCGAATAGAGCACAAAGAAATTCTCACATATAAAAGGGCCAGGTAGCAAATTCTTTGTACCTACTTAAATTTATTTTTACTTACATTCGGGAAAGGCAAGGCATGCTAAGGTACTTACATTAGTCAAATAGATACATTATTTGTAAATTTTGAAGTTCAAACCGGCTTGAAGTTAGATGCGGTTACAAGTATATAGAAGAAAATTAGTTTTGGATCAGCCATTGATGGCAATTTTGATAAGCAACCTCTTTGAGAAAATTTTCATTGATGGCAATTTTAATAAGCACTTTCTTTGAGAAAATTTTCATTGATGGCAATTTTGATAAGCACTTTCTATGAGAAAATTTTCATTGATGGCAATTTTGATAAGCACTTGCTCGGAAAAAAAAAATTTCATTGATGGCAATTTTGAGAAGCACTTTCTTCCTTTTTCGCATTAGTTTTGAAGCATCGTAGTTCTTTTAAAATTATTGTAATAAAAATGAGTTTGTATTAAAAATGTAATTATATTTTTACCGGACAATTTGCAATTTTCATAAACCTCGCTACTACTTGTCCTTGATCGAAAATCACTTTTGAATCTTTTTCTCATATTCTTCCCTCTATATCCCCTTTGTAGTAGTGACCGGATAAATATAATTTTTGATCTATTCCTATTCTTACTATGTTGTTTTTAAGTAGTTCCATGCACTCCCATATAATGAAACCTCCCATTCCAATATTAATATAGTTATAGCTGAAGTCTGAAACTAAAGTAGGCGTAACTTGCATGACATTATTGTTAATAAACATCAGAATGACCAACGACTTAGTTAGCTATTACCTATCATTATCGTATTAAAACAAACGTTTTTTTTTGTTCGCTATATCTTAAACAGTTTTAAACTTTCGCGTTGCGTTATAAATTAACAATGGTGGCGATTCTGGCATGATTTTCTAAATCTAAACTAAAATTAGACAACAGTGTATCCTTGTCATTCTCTATACAGAATGAAAAGGAGGGACTGATGTTAAATTTAGTTTTTAAGTTAAAAGAAGCACGCCAAACTCGACACCATTATATCTTAGTTGAAACAAAAAAATACTAAATCTGTCTCCTTAGCATGAGCACCAAAAGTTACATTAAAACCCCTTTTTTATCGCGTCTAGTTAGACGCCGACGTTAGTTGCCAGTTGGCAAACTCCATATTGGTGTCGATTCTGGCGTGATTATCTAAACTTAAATCTAAATTTAACATCAGTCTCTCCTTTTATTCTGTATAGAGAATGACAAGGATATACTGCTGTCAAATTTAAGTTTAGGTTTAGAGAATCATGCTAGAATCGACACCATTGTCAAATTACTTTGACAATTGATCATGACAAAACGAGCTATTCAACCACAGACACAGATAGTATATGAGGAGGTGGTGAACAAAACGGTATAATTACATAAAATTATTTTTTTCAGGAGCTGTGTAAAACTGAATGACTTACCTACAGTGCGCTTTTAGCATGGTTCTTTTTTATAAATTTAGTAATTTTGACACTGTTTTAGGCGGTTTTGATTGAAAATTATTTGAGATTCTAATTCAACGGGCCTAAAACCGTAAAAAAATGGTTTGAGCAGATGCGTTATTATACCGTTTTGTTCGCCAGCTCCTCATACTTAACATAACTGGGTGCTCATGCGAGTATGATTAGGTACTTTTTTTAAATACCTAAAGATTTTACTTGGTTTTACTTTTTTAATTGGCATGTATGTTATACTAAATCCGGAATTTGTAGTAAACACCCTGATCTCTGACCCTCCATGCATCCACCATAGTGATGTGCGTTCTACGCGTGATCGATAAATTACTTACACATATAAGCTAATACACTAAATGACTAGCATCGCGTTGATTTCGCTTTAGTTATATATCACTAATTTATTAACAATTTTGCTTTTACAATAAATATAACTAAGTATATTAATGTGAACTATAATAATAAACTTGACAATGAAAGGTAGACAGTGGTGTCGATTCTAGCATGATTCTCTAAACCTAAACTTAAATTTGACAGCAGTATATCCTTGTCCTACTCTATACAGAATGAAAAGGAGAGACTGATGTTAAATTTAGTTTTAAGTTTAGATAATCACGTCAGAATTGGCACCAATAAATGCCCAATTCTTCAAATTTAGGCAATATGAACTGAGAATAATAATGTCCTATTGTCAGGTCTATTAAGAATGGCCATGGACATCAAAAATATCGACTCATCTGTTTTCAATCCAAGATCTATTTATTTATTAAAATTCAACGACTGTTCTTTATTTCTAAACATTAAATATTTAAATTTGCCTTCGCTACATTTAACTGATGGTGTACTTTGTCAGACTTGTACCTTTGAGCAGGGCCGTAGCCAGAGTTGTATTTAAGGTAGTGCAGCGGAGCATAAGTGCGCGAGCACACGATGCGTTGTGGCGCCGCAGCGCAAAGATTTCGCCGCCTCGGTGGGCACACGAGCGGTGCGGCGCCGCAACGTTGTTACGTCGCAGCGGCGCCGCGGGCAACCCACCAGCATACATTCTTTATGACGCATAAGCAACTAAGCGGTGCCGCTCCGTCGTCGCAACGCAGTCACCTCTCCCCGCCTCGTCTCGGTGGTTGCAAGTCCGGTGCGGCGCCGGAGCGCATCGTGTGACATGCCACTGATATTTCTATGTAAGACGACGCAGCGACACCGCTTCGACACCGCACCGCCGCCGCAACGCATCGTGTGCTCCCGCTCTAAGCAGAGTCGTGCCGCTCTTCTAGCCTGCCTGCTGCTTCTTTTAAGGTAAAGCAATGGTATTTTAAGGTAAGGCATTGCCCCTTATTGCCCATCCCTAGCCACGGCCTTGCCTTTGAGGTACAATGCGTAAAAGTGTATTGCTCTTACATACCAAAAACATGAAGTGAATATATTATTTTATCACCAATCTATTGTGATAAATTATCAGAAATTCACTCACGGACCTGCCGAATGTTTCCTTAACGTGGATTTAATAAAATTGACCCTTTTGCTGGAGTATTAAGCACGTCCAGAACTGCGCTCGTGAAATACATCAAGTTTCCTTAACCATACAGACGAATCTTACAATTGGAACTCCAAAATCTGCTGTCTGCGCAATATATATTTAAGTATATTTAATTAATTGGGTGATAAATCTTTATGTATCTACAATTATAGGTAGGTATAAAGTAATCGCGCGCATCGAAAACTAGGTACAACAATATTGATATACATAAATGATCAACAACTTAAGTCTAAGTCATACTTAGTTCCGCACCAACCGTTGGCCGACCTCGTCTTGCTTAACTACACTTGATTTTTAATCATAATCTATTTACATTTACAATAATATAATGTGAGTATTAAAAAGTGTTAAACAAATTACTCCAGATAATAACGGAAAAATATCATTGAAGAGTATCAAATGAGCTTGTGACTATTAGTTAGGTTTTGGGACGAATTTAATTCATAATTTATTTTATTAAAATATCATGAATATCATCAAACAAATGTTAAACTTAAAACGATATTTTTACTTTTAAAATCTCGATTTAAAAATCTTTTTTTTTCGTAAGTAATATTTATGGCATCTTTGATCGTTATAAATTGAATTCGAACTTTTTTTATAATATACAATTATAAATAGTTTCGCCTTAATAAACTAACAAAAAAACAGTACTTAATCTTTATTTATAAATTAAAACACGAAAAAATAGTAACTATTGGATTTCCAGTGAACGACATAAAAATAGCTACATAATCTAACATCTAGTGTCGTCATTCAACGACGTCCATCTTGAATGTGGTCGGCTTCCTACCAATCGGCTTCATCGCCAGCCGATGTCCTGTTCCGGTGTTCAGTATCTCTTCGTCACTACTGCTCGAGTCGTCGAAGCGACCGGACGTCCGGATCACGCCCTCCGAGTCTGACGACTGTGATATAACATATAAATACACTTGTTAGAGTATAATGGAAAATTGAATTAGTTTATTTGTATAGCAGTGGCTGTTCTAGTGTAATTTTTTATGATTTTTTTGGTTCAAGCATAGCAAATGAAAGTAGACTAAAAAAACTAAATAACTTCATCATGCCATCACAATATATCCTTTATTGTCATTCTCTTAATGAAAAAGCCTTAAATGTATCCATCGTTAAATGATAAAGGAAAAAAATATTTGTTTAAATTAAATAAAAACCATGTTTGTTCGTTCAATCTCAATTAAAAAGTATAAATTAGGAATTTACCCTCTCCTAGGTTCATGCAGGCACAATAAAAATAATATAAAAAATATGTACATAACTAAGTTAATCTTCTAGCATGACTCTCTAAACATAAAATTAATTTTGACAACAATGTCAGTGTATACTTGTCATTCTCTATACTGAATGTGAACGAAAGACTTATGTAAATTTAGTTTAGAGAATCATGCCAACATCGGCATTAATGTTCATGTTACTTAGTCAACTAATAAATGATAAACACTTCTGAAAAAAAAGAATCGTTACAATATAAAAAGTTACCTATCATATCTAAACAAAATTTTGCTAGAAAAAAATCCACGCAGACCAGGCAGCAGACGGGACTCGAACCCGCACCCTAAAGGGTGCACCATACATACCCGCACCATAAATGCTACCGCGGCCCTGATACAATAACCATAAAATAACTATAGTAATAATAACAATACAATTGCTATTTCTTGTTTCAAATGTTTATTAATGTACTTGTAAAGGTATTCATTTGATATTGTGGGTTACCTACAATGCGAAGAGATACTAGAAAGAATTAGACACGGGCATCAGGGACATGGTAGCATAATAGTCAGTGCATCCGCCCGGATAGCGAGGGGTGCGGGTTCGAGTCCCGTCTGCTGCTTGATCCGCGTGGATATTTTTTTAGTGGATATTTAAATTTTCTTTAGATTTAAACATGTAGCAGTTAAATGCTTAATAAATTAAAATATATGTATATACTTATTATATTATATACTTACGATGAAATCAAAGAAAAAAGCAGCTAGAAAAAAGTCGTTAACTGAAAACATGCAAAGATGTGTGACATTGATGGCATGCATAAACTATGAAGTAAGGGGTTGTCTATTAATCACGCGAGGCTTAGCAGAGGGGGGGGGGGGGAGGATTTCATAAAAAATCACGAAATATCACAGGGGGGGGGGGGGTTGTAATATATCACGTGTATTTTCATGGTCCGAAGCAGTGTTGCCATCAAGTTTCATAGAGTTGCCGTATTCGATACTTGATATTGATGTATTAACTAATTTTATTGGAGTTTACTCCTTAAGAATCGATTTGCATATATAAGGGGCCCGGTATGAGAAAAATGTGAGGAGTAAAATCTATCGATGAATGACCTCGTTACGTTTTTGGTGCGCATCCTATGTCGCGCAACTTTGACAAACAAGGATGACGGATTGACATTAATAAAATTTTTAAAAACTGAACTGAATTTAGATATTGTTTCTGATAGAGCAATGCGGACAACGAGGTATGGTACAACCATTGATGCGGTATTTTCAAGATTCGTGAACCACGTATCTACGAACGTCCATGTGTCTTATTTTAGTTACCATAAACCACTTGTCACTGTAATTAATAATGCAGACAATGTTGATTTAATTAATATTTAAAAAAATGATAATAGTCTGATAATTAAATAAAATCTTTTTGCGTCTGGTTAGACTATCGAACTTAAGGAGTAAACTCCAGTCGTGCGTCGGAGCTGACACACACAATTTTTTATTTATTAAAATTTATAGGTATAGGAAACAAATAAAAAAATAACCTACTGATTAATATCACCGCCATACAGATTTCTAATAGACTCAACTATTTCGCTGTCGTGTTATTTAAACAATATTTTTTGTCCTTGTTTTTAATTTTCCCACACATGTCACGGGATGGCTGAAATATTGTACAGTTCACTTGATTTCTGGTGGCTTGCTTCGCCAATAGAGTTCCATTTACAGTTTTAGTAACTAATTTAGTTATACTGCACGTGGATTCCCAGTAAGGATACATTCTCCGTGCTAGTGATGTGCCTAAACTACAATTTTATACGATGTTTTGTTGGAATCTTAATAAACTTAGAACATTATCCTTGTAAATCGATTCAAAACAAAATTAGATTGCCTTATATTATTATACGGTAATAAGAAACCTGCCGTATGCCGTATAATCTGAAATTATGAGCTCAAATTGCCGTATCAACGGCAACGCTGGTCTGAGGATACTGTACATTAAATAAATAAATAAATATTTCCAACACACACACCAATTAGCCTAGCCCCAAAGTGAGCACTGTAAGGCTTGTGTTATGGGATGCTAGGGTAACGGATAGAATACATATACTGTACGTACATATATAAGTATATTTATATAGAAATACATATTAAACATCCATGACTGGAGTACAAATGCTCGTATTCGTCACACAAACATCTGCCCCCACCGGGATTCGAACCCGGGACCTCTCGAGTCGGCGACACCATGAAACCCGGCGTACAAACCACTCGGCCACGGAGGTCGTCGTCGGTCGTAAATAATGTTCATGTATTAGTACAGTACAAGTACAAAACAGTTTTTCGCATTTCATTCATTATTTTTATGTCAGTCAAAAACAACCTGCAACTTTTCTGTCTACCTATCTGCGTTATTATTGTAGTCTTTAATTTCCTATTATAAAATTAGATGATACTTATACTTGCCTGTATTTATAAATATTTAAAAAAGATTCTTTGTAAGTAGTAAAAAATACACGTGATATAGGCGCCGGGAGGAGGGTTTAGTCTTAAACCTCTCCATGTATTACCAAGGGGGAGGAGGGAGTAAAAAAATGCAAAAAAAAGATCACGTGATTAATGGACGGCCCCTAATGGTAGCCATACACACTACGAGAAATCGTTACGATTAGACTGTACCGTCCGAACGGTACAAATCGTATCGTGTATTTAAATCTAAAGAAAAGTTTACTAGAAAAAAATCCACGCGGACCAGGCAGCGGACGGGACTCGAACCCGCATCCTTCGCAATCCGGGCGAATGCACTGACCATTATGCTACCACGGCCCTATTAGCCGCGTCGAAATTTTCCTAGCCTTAAGCTGCAAGGCAGCGCCATCTCTTCGCATTGTAGGTAACCCACAATGTCAAATGAATACTTTTTCAAGTATAAAACATTTGAATGAAGAAATAGCAATTATAGTTATGATTGGATAGCAATTATAGCAATTATAGTTATGCGTGGATTTTTTTCTAGTAAACTTTTCTTTAGATTTAAACATCTAGCAGTTAAATGCTTAAAAAAATAAATAAAATCGTAGCGTGTATGTTATAAAACTGCACAGTTTCCTATACGTACGCCACGTCCGATAAACTGTTCCGTTCGAACTGTACAGTCTGATCGTAACGATTTCTCGTAGTGTGTATGGCTACCATAATAAACCAAGTGAGTGTGAGCGGGACAGACATTTATTTGTTGGGTCGGCTGCGCGCGATGCTGGCGGGCGGGCGCTTGCTCTGTCGCTCGTCGCTGCTATCCACACCCTACGTTTACACAACATTATTATATAGCGATACATTTATTTAGCTATGTACACACACATAGTATGCCTAATTTTAACATCTACAATTACCAAAATCATCATCAGCCTATTAATGCTCCCCAACAGTCCCCAGTATCTCTCTATTCATTGCATAATTCTACTGAACTCCACTCTCTTGCAATCATTATATAACAAATGAAAGTACTATAGGTATGAATTTTAACATTTTGAAAAACATCATCATCAGCCTATTGATGTCCCCATTGCTGAGGCACAGGCCTTTCCTATGGACGGAATGGGGAGATTGGGCCATTACCCACCATGCGGTCCCAGTGCGGATTGGCGGGTGCTAACGACTGCAGATGCAGCCGAGACCAACGGCTTAACGTGCCTTCCGAAGCACGGACGAACTCGAGATAGAAGATTTTTGGTGACCCATCCAATGACCGACCATTGCGAAAGTTGCTTTACTTCAACGATCGCAGCTGAACGCGCTAGCCACCACCACACCACCGCAAGATTTAGAGAACCATGTCAGAATCGACACCCTGTGTATCCTTGTCATTCTTTATACAGAATGAAATGGAGAGACTGATATTTTTAGTTTTAAATTTAGAGAATCCTGCCAGAATTCAGAACCTTCATTTAAATTACCTCATTAAAGGTCTTTTTAATAATCCTTACTACACAAAGTGATAAGATAAAATGTATATATTTACAATAATAATATATACAGGAAATATGAACCTAAAACTAAAAACCTTAAAAAATATATTATAATAACTAAAATATAATATTCAAAGGGGTCCCTTAAGGCAAGGTTCCGAAGATACAGGCAGCGTTCCCCCTTTGAATAGCTAGACTAATTCTTTGTCCGAGGTATCTGCTAGCTCCTAGGTCTCCTGTGATGTCGACGAATCTTTTTGATATTTCCTCATAAAACTTCATAGCGTTAGGACCCCACGGACCAAGATTCCCGATACCGAATGGGACAAAATCATATTCGGAGCCTAGACCCCTGTATTTGCATGCTTTTGCTTTTTCAGCCGCTTCACAAGCCGCACCAGCTCTGTTGTTGGTTCCATGTAGATAGGAAGGGGCCAGCGTGTCTGAACAGGTTGCATCCCATACCAGTACCCGGCCCATCTTCCATGGAATCAAACTCATACCGGTCCAGTCTCTTGCCATTGTCTCTTACAATACCAGTCGGCTCAAGTAGACTTGGCACGTTGACGGTAAAAATTAAATTCAAGGCCTAAATGACATTACCTACATAGCGTAAAACTGTTTCAATCGATGTTGTATTTTAGGTTTGACATTTGGTTGCGAGAACTACGGTAAACAAATGATACAATTTAAGAGCATCGTGATAATTCGTAGGTTTGTCAAACTTGAGGAGTTCGATGACGCAGGTGGTTAGCGAGTTCTGCCTGCGAACGTGGAACTTAAGCAACTTTCGCAAATGACGGTCATTGGATAGGTGACCAAAAGCTCTCGCTCCTCCATGCTTCAGAAGACTTAAGGCCCGTATTACAGAATGACAACTTAGTGTTGATCTTTACTTGGGTACAGTTAGAAAGGGATGTCGCTATGTGCTATATATAGCGACATCCCTTTCTAACTATATGCTGAAGACTAGATCAATCACTGAGAATCTTTCTATAATACGGGCCTAAATCTGTAAAAGTTAGCATCCACCAATCCGCATTGGGACGCGTGGTTGGTCATGGCCCTTCTCCCTATTCCATCCATAGGGAAGGCCAGTGCCCCAGCAGTGGGGACGTTAGTAATCTGATGATGAAGATTGTTAAAAGATACCGTTCAAATTTGTATGGGGGGTGGTAGTCAGTCTCCGGCAGACACCAAGTTTTCTCTCTCCAGGGATGTAGTGCACTTCATGTTAAATCTTTTGTCAAAAAATTAGACTGTTTTGTCTCAGTTATATTTAAATAATTATTATAATATAAAATTATATATAATGCGATTCAACTAAGAATAGGATCGACTGGGCGCCATATTGTGACGTCATAACTGTCAATTCAAACGAAATAGGTAGAGTGAGCAAAAAAAGGTTTTATTTAATAAAACTTAATTACTAAGATTAACTGTGAAATAACATCAGACTTTTTTAATAAATTTTATTTACTGAGATTGAGAAAAGAAAACAACCGATTTTTAATAATATTTATATATTAAGACTGTGTGAGAAAAAACATTAATCAGAATTAAGTTCTTCAATTCCGCTCATCTCTGCATTACCGCCGGAGTAGTTTTGGATAATCATGCACTATTACTAGGTCACATACGAACATGCATCCTTTATGTAAACGAAAGTTTCAAATCGAGCTTCTGAACGCAGCTTAAAATGACATTTGGTTGACGATTTAGGTTATCAAAAATTCATAGCCAAAGCTCAATGAATGAAAAAAAAATATCAACCAATATTAATTATCAATATTTGTTATTTTTTGTTTACAAATGTTTGATTTTTATTCTAGAATTAGCAGAGTGCTAAAAAAAGATTAAAAGATTTTTTTGCAAACGGTACTTTTCAAGCGATATTTGACAGATGGTCATTGGCTTTCCTATTCTTATTTGAATCGCATAAGTTTATTGTTGTCATAGCATCAAATATATGCTATTTAATAGGTGACTAAAGCAGTGATAATTATTCTGTTCATCATTCATTACATTATTAGATAGGTACTTTGTGGGTATTTTATTTCAAGAAGAATCAATCATAAATTGGTATAATAAGTTCATGAAGACTCCACGAATTTCGTGCATGCCTGAATTGATTGACATTTCTTTGTGATTGAGTTAACTCACAAAATTGTTAAATTTTTGAAACACGATTAAAATTATATCGCAGATAAATAAAAATGAAAAGTATCTTAATATAAAACAAGCTTTCAAATCATGTAGGTATGTTGAGTCGCTACCGAAAAGTGACTACCACATTTAAACCTTGTCCTTTAGATTCATATAGGTATTTTGTTTAGATAATCGTATCAGAATTAGTAGGCCTATTCGCTTACAGCTTTTGACAGATAAAAGTGATAATCATCGAGCTATTTAGTGATCCACTACTGCTTTATTATAACGCCACTAAGATACTTGTTCTAAAAACCATCGATGGATATGCAATTTTCACTGTAAATGTCAAAAATTTTGCGAATAGGCCGGCTGGTCTATTAATCTAGCAATTAGGGTTACCAACTTTTTCTATTAAATATAGTATTTTCGAAGCGCTGTCACCTCTAAAATTATAGCAGATGGCAAAAAGATGGAAAAAAATATAGTATGTGGTTAAAATATCTACTTTATTTTTAAAATGAATATATTTTTGCTCTTCCATGCTTTAATATTTTTTTTTTATTTCTGAGAACGCATTTACTGGTAAAAATCTGCTTTAAACAAAATATAGTAGTTTCGCCCACTATATAGGTATATATTTTTAGAAATATAGTATTTATTCCCCTAATATAGTAGGATACTATATTCTATAGTACGGTTGGCCACCCTACTAGCAATCTAGCTTACGTCGAAGTCGCCGATAGTGAATTTAGTTCCGGCCGCCTCCGCCACCAGCTGCGCCGGCGCCGGCGGCGCGCTCTCCGGCGACAACACCTGCGTTGTGCGCCAACCACAAGTTAGCACAATTCACTAAGCAATGCTATAGTTAAACGCTTCAAAATGCATCTTTTTATTACTTTCTTAACGTTTTGCATCCTTTTCAGGATGCGTCGCCGGAACTTAAAAACAAAATACGCATTTTTAAGTAATAAAGAGACGGTTTATGAGTGTTTCATATAATGAGGGGTGTGCATGAAAACTAAAGTTAGTTTATTTTACTATATGTAGAGAGATACCGTTCAAATAAGTTACCTTGATCACACGCAAAACAACCGGCAGATCAATTAAATTTTTGATTCAACAATAATTTTGCCATAGTACGATTGTCCTGATTTAATGTTTTGTTACCATTGTAAATATTTTATTGCAATTATACAACTACATAATCTCGCAAAACTAGAAAGAAGTAGGGTAAATGTTTTTTCCGCTCGAATTGAGCGCCCATATAGGCAAGGAGTGTGGCGGCGACATCTATATGCCCCACATATTACTAACATGGAGGGATGTGCTCAGTCGAGGGTTACTACCTCTAGACCACTCGAACATGAGGGGGTCGGCTCAACTAGAGGGCGTCTTTGAGACTCGAACCTCGACTCTAGTTAGCCGTTGTCGTGGGGGGGTGGGGAAAAACGCCCAGGTACGTACCCTGGTATAAGCGTGTCGTGTGTAGACCGGGTCTTCGCACTCTTATCCTAAGGGTGCGGTGTCTGCCTAATGCTAAGTTAATGTGCAAGTTTGCTAGCTGTGTAGTGTTGGTGTTTGTTGCCTGTGTGGGAGGAATCGGAGGCGCGTTGGCGCGGGTGATTTCGTCGTCGAGGTACTCTAAGACGTTCCTTTACCGACGGATTCGGAGAGACCTACGATTAGAGGACGGGAGGGCGGACGTATGATAACTAATTAATTGCTTTTACTACTAAAGGGTTCGGATGATGCGCGGCTTTATCAAAGTCGTCCTTCATATACTTCGCGATGGAGTCTAACTTGAAATCGCGATGCAAATCGAGGTTGTCCCCGTGGCACCGCGCAACACACGATTTTGTAGCGTTTGTAGTGGTTTAAGACATAATGGCGGTACGTGGGTGAAGCCAACACACGCGTAGGTCATGATAGGACATGCAAGTTTTGAACTGCTGTTGGTCGGGCATTGTATATATGGAGTGTTAGCCTCGGAATTTTATTTGCGCAATGTAGGCTTCCATACTATTATGTTTGCAGCGCAGGTAGCGCCGTCTTTTAAGGAGGCAAGTGATTATTTCCTCCATGTTGGTTATATGTGGGACATGTAGATGAGACCGCCACACCTATCACATTATTATAACAGCGTAGGCTACGTATGCCCGTATGGTACGCCAGAGTCTGTACCAGATTTCAGCGTTATTCCAGAGCGCTCTTCGAGCGTAAAAAAAATCTTATTAATAAACAAGGAATAAGCTTAGACAATTCAATGAAGAGAGACAAAACATAGAGTAGTAACTAATGCAAGCCTATTCTTCGTTTATTAATAAGGGGGTTGGGGAGGATGAAGCCGAGGTAACTTATTGTTGCGGTATCATGATGTTATTTAAATCTAGCATACAAACAACTATATTGTTAGCAACTATGTCATTATCTTCCAAGTTTTGTAAAATCATGTAACTTACACATTGATCAGAATAGGTTTAGTCAATGAACAAAGAATCGTTAAATAAATATATATTTTCAACACTCACACCAATTAGCCTAGCCCCAAAGTAAGCACTAGAATACATACACTGATACTGTATATGTATACCACCCGTTACTGTTAAAACTTAACTAACTACTTACTGATAACAAATTGGTATTTTTTTAAATTAAAAATCCTATTGATATATGCGGCTATTTCTTCAGTCAGGATCTATGGATGATGGATTGCTACCTCCAGCACCCAGTAGGGGTAGCTCTTCTAATAATGTCTTTAGCTGTACTCATCCTGGTCGCTCATCGTCCCGTTAGTAGTTCTCTGATTGATGTCCACGTACAGAGCGAGACAGTGGAATCTTCTCGACATCAGCAGCCAGTCTGGGGAACCTTCAGGTATGCCCACATTCTGGTCGCTCATCATCTCTCCAGCCAGGATCATCGGTACTGCTACCTTCAGCATCCAGTTGGGGTAGCTCTTTTAATAACATCTTTAGATTTAAACATCTAGCAGTTAAATGATTAAAAAATAAAAACATAATCTTTAGGTATACTTACATCCTGGTCGCTTATCATTTCTCTAGTGAAGACGGTGGCTTAGATCCTTTTGATGGACCCCAGGTGGATGTCCACATTCAGGACGAGGCATTGGAAGCGTCCAGGGGATGGGGAGCACTCGGTCCAGCAAACTTCAGATCTACTTACATCCTGGTCGCTCTTCATCTCTTTAGTCAAGATCATCGGCATTGCTATCTTCAGCTCTCAGTTTGGAATGCTCTTCTAATAATATCTTCAGATCTACTCACATCCTGGTGGCTCATCATCACCTTAGTAGAAACCGTGGTATCGATGCTCCTGGTGGACTTCTGATGGATGTCCAAGTACACAGCGAGGCACTGGAAAGTTCTCGAGAGCAGCAGCCAGTCTGGGGAACTTTCAGGTATACTAACAACCAGGTCACTTATCATAACCTACAGATCTACTTACATCCTGGTCGCTCATCATCTCCTTGGTAGACACCGTGGTCTCAATCCTCCTGATGGACCCCTGGTGGATGTCCACGTCCAGGGCGAGGCACTGGAAGCGCCGCAGCAGCAGCACCACCGGGATGGGCAGCACTCCGGCCAGGATCATGATTACTGCGATCGCCAGCACCCAGTCAGGATAGCTCTTTTTCACGGTGTGACCCTGGGTACACCAATGGTAAATTAACCATCATCATCATCATATCATCATCATATACACTGAATGATTTTGAGGTTATGTTTACAAATAGGTACTAAAATAATAAAAAACAAATAAGTTATATAATAAACAAGGAAAATCAAGCCTAGTACCGAAATTATGTATATATAAAGCATGTAGATTAACAGATGGATGCCTGTTTTTAAAGTTAATGCACAAGAGTAACTTTTAAAATCAGGTATCATCTATGCATTTCCGGTTATAATCTGTGGCAGAAATTGTGTGATGATTGTGAATGAGCCACAGATTAGAGAGAATTTTTAAACTCTCGTTAACCAAAGAAAGCTAAGAGATTTAGGTTATACAGCCATATCTTCAGAAGCTTCATTATTTTTGTCATGTTTATATTTTATTAACAATATTTTTGATTTTTAGTGTATAACACCTTATAATGTGTTTATGGACGTGTTTGGCGAAAAATGTATGGCAATAGACTTTATGATGTCGCCTACCATCCATCTAAATATAATAATTATCTTAGCACATTTGCATGTAATGAAAATATGTATAGTTGAGGATATTAATACCACAGTGTTATAAAAAAAAAACGAACAAAATAGATTTGTTTTGATGTTATATTTATAAACAACTTCGATCAGTCTTTGGCTGAATGTAACTACACCCATAGTCATTAAAAATAATTCGTATATTTTCCAAAGCGGTATAATTAAGTCCTTTTTAAAATGAACATAATATACAAAAGTGTCCGTTAAAATCTAATGACTGTAAAATAAAGTTTAGATTACGCCAAGAATTACCGTATATGTCAATATTTTTGTACATTTGGGTCAATTTGAGCAATCTCCTTTTGACGAATCAAAAGCAAATTGTATCATGTAGATGTTGGATGGAATAGGGAGATTGGGCCATGACTCACGCGGGCCCAGTGCGAAAAGGCGGGTGCTAACGACTGCAGATGCAGCCGGGACCAACGGTTTAACGTGCCTTCCGAAGCACGGAGGAACTCGAGATAGAAGTTTTTTTTTCACCCATCCTATGACCGACCATTGCGAAAGTTGCTTAACTTCAACGATCGCAGCCAAAACACGCTAGCCACCTGCGCCATCGAGCTCCTCATATCTTATAACAATGTATTTTTATCGGTATACAGGCTTTCTACTAGACTATCGACAAATACATAAATAAATAACAGGAAAATTCTACCAATCACTTATAAATAAGACCGGTCAATGACTATACGTTATTCCCCGTCTGTTTACATGCAAAGATGCACGCGCTATACTTGTTAATACTTATAGTGAATGTGCTGGTGTGTCATGGTAAGATTGTGAGAACGAACAATGGACCAATAGTGGGACAAGATCGGGGAAACTATGAGACCTTCTTCGGTATTCCTTACGCTTTGGTGGACGAGGAAAACCCATTTGGGGTAAGCTATTTTATTGTTATTCCTTAAATAAAACTAGTTTTTCACGGGTTAATGCACGAAACTTTATTTATTTATTGACGTTCTATAATCCTTCGAAGTAGCTTTTTATTTGCCTCTTGTAAGATCTTGGCGCTCCCACGTATGTCCTTTTTTGGTGTGATTCTTACACAAGGTGGGATGAGATTGTGGTCTCGGCATCTCTTCAGGAAATTCAACGATGTTAATTTCCTTGCGCGCTTTGTCTTCAGACCTTCCGATCGGCGGATCTTATTAGCGGTTTCCAGCCCGTACTGGTAACATATTTGTTTCTTAGGTTTTCACAAACTCACTCATTAAATAAAACTAGTTTATCACGGGTTAATGCACGAAACTTTATTTATTTATTGACGTTTCGCATTTTGTTATTCCTTTTTACATTCTGCATTGTAGATTTTATTTATACGTACATTTAATTCTATACATTTGGCGTAGGTGTTTCGATATGACGATAGGATCGTGTAAACTGTATCTTTGATATGCAAACATCTTAAACTACGATACATTTGAAGACGGTTGGTGCGTTTCGCTTAAAAGGAGTTCGTGCTCCTTTAAATCTCTTACCTAATAGACAAGTCCGTCCGTCCGTCCGTGGTGCTGTTTCAGCGGCCAAACCGTAAGAGATAGATAAAGAGAATGTTTAAGTTATAAGTTGAGAATAGTCTGATTAGACTACAAACCGGATGTGAGTATCGTAGCACTTCCGGTTTTCGAGAAATCACGTGATTTCTATTTCAAACGAAACCACACAAAATCTCCGAAGTTCTCAATTAATTAAATCCATTTTTTTTTGGTGAACATTTGGTTCACTGGTTTGCTAGTTGCGTTCTAATACGAATACTACCTGTTGCCGACCTCTTTTATAGATTTAGTTTTTATGGTTTTTTGAAGTGTTTTTAAAGTATTGACATTGTCTTCGACATAAGGTTGAGATTTCTTTATCAGGTGATTGCGAATTGATAACACGTGTTTCCTCTATAATGATTTTATTAAGACTAAAACTTGCATAGCAAATGATGCGATAATACGTATCGGACATACCGCCCGCCAAAAACAATAGTTTTTTAATTGTAAACCCAAAAAACGTGCATAAATAATTTACCTTAGTATAGACATAGATATTGGAAATAATACTATGATTATAAGTGTCAAGCATGACAAGTATATGCTAGGTGCATTTAGTAAGTAACAAAAGTTATATACTAGCTCAAAATTAATTACATTAGTATCAAGGAACTTTCAATTACAAACGTTTTCTGCGAACTTAAATCCTTATTACAAAAAATATTCAATAACAAATAATAATTCTTTAAAGTAAAACATATGCAACGGTAATCACTCATAATATTAGGGAACTTACTATTATGGAATAATAATAAACTATGATGGAATTTACTTAATTTTGCTCAACATCCTTTGGAAGTATTATTAATTTTGACAATGGTCTTTTTAGTTCATTATTACCCTTGCACCTTACTGTTACTACTCGCACTAAATTATCTGCACCAGGATGAAGATCTTTAATTCTACCGAGAATCCATTGTGTCGGGGGTGTCAGTTCATCCTTGATGATTACCAAGTCTCCAATGCTTGGCGACGGAACTGCCACTTGCCATTTATGTCTCTGCTGCAAGGTATTGAGATACTCGCACTGCCACCGACGCCAAAAGTCTTGTGTCATTTTTTGAATGACTTGCCATCTACTCAAAAGGCTGAATTTCTGATATTCATAATTTAAATCTGGCACACCAATCAAAGATTCTCCAACTAAGAAATGGCCTGGTGTTAAAGGAGTTTCTGTAGTATTATCAATTTGGCAAAGAGGACGAGAATTGAGGCAAGCCTCTATTTGAGCTAAAAAGGTAACCATCTCTTCGTATGTTAGCTTGGTATCCTTAATGACTCGGTTAAGGTGTCTTTTTGCCGACTGTACTCCAGCCTCCCATAAACCTCCACAATTTGGCATTTTTGGAGGTATGAAATGCCAGGTTGTTCCCTCATTTGCCAATACTGCTGCTACTTCTTGAGTGACACTATCCTTGCCCCCTTTGAACAGAAACTTTAATTCCTTAGCTGCTCCGACAAAGTTCGTCCCATTGTCACTCCATAGGTGGGAACAATAGCCTCTGCGTGCGACAAACCTACGAAATGCAGCAATGAATGCTTGGGAAGTTAGATCAGTGACAGCCTCGAGATGAATCGCGCGAGTACTCATACATACAAACAAGCAAATGTACCCCTTTGTTGTATGATGACCGCGACCCTTAGATGCTCTCATTAGTATAGGTCCAGCATAATCTACTCCACTGTTTGTAAACGCTCACGCGGGTTGACTCTAACAGCTGGCAGCTGGCCCATAAGCTGGTGTTTAATTCGTGCCTTGTCGATAACACATGTCTTGCAATTACGAATGCAACATTTGACGGCAGATTTTAGTCCAATAACCCAATATTTTGTTCTGATATATGCCATCATTAGTTGAATGCCACCATGCAATGTCTTGGTATGTGCTTCTTGTACTATTACTCTTGTTAAATGCTGATTCTGGGGTATGATAATAGGGTTTTTTGTTGCATCTAGAATTGAAGCATTCCGAAGCCGTCCTCCTACTCTTATCAAACCACTCTTATCTAAGAATGGTGTAAGGGTGATCAACGAACTTCTTTTATTTACTCTTTCCTTAATTCCTAACTCTTCTATTTCCTTTCCGTACACTAAGCTCTGGTAGTATTTAATGCATCTTTTTAATACGTCTTCCATTTCAGTCGCTGTAATATAAATTTCTTGCCGTCTTAGTTTATTTTTTGCAATCCATCTTATACAATAAGATAGTATCCGCTTCATCCTAGATAACGTTGAAAACCTTTCCCATATTGGATGTTCTATTATATTTGAGTTTAACGAAACTCGTAACTCTAAATCAGTCTTTGGAATATCACGTCTGTGAAATTGTAAGTCCCGTTGGCGTAGCCATTCGGGTCCACTCCACCAAAGTTTTTGTGTCGGCAAATCGCATGCCCTTACCCCTCTCGTGGCTATATCAGCAGGGTTCTCACTCGAATGAACATGCCTCCATTGATCATTATCTAGAACTCGTATGATATCTGCGACTCTGTTAGCCACAAATGTTCGCCAACGGTTGGGCTGTGATTGAAGCCATGATAACACAACCGTAGAATCAGTCCATACGTATACTTCGGATTTAGGTACATTTAGAATGTCTACTAGATCACTTACAAGTTCTGCTAGCAACGCTGCGCCACATAGTTCTAATTTAGGAACTGATATTTGCTTCAAAGGTGCAACCTTTGTACGAGAAGCTATTTGTGTGACGTGCACTGTGCCATCATCTTCGAGTACCCGTAGGTAAGTAACTGCTGCATATGCTTGGGTTGATGCATCTGCAAAACCATGTAGCTGTACAATTTTATTCTTATATTCATTAGTCCTTAACCATCGCGGAATCTTTATGTTTTGCAGATGTGTCAATTCTAACCTGAAGTTTACCCACTCTTCA